ATTTAAGAATTTATTAACTGAAATACCACATTGACATAAGAATTCAGTTATTTTCAGTATTTAGCACTTTCTCGATTTGCCATAAATTTTCATAAAATTCTGCCTTGAAAGTGAAATAAAGCATGAAAATAGTGAAAAACTGACTAAAACCACATGTCTCGTAGTCCGCCATTGACCAGTCAGAAGAGACACAATGCATTATGGGGTGGTTGAGTATGTGCAGTAAGCTCATGCTGTATACTCAGAAATTCTTGCTAAATTAGTATACATCTGGGCATTTCTCAGATGCACAAAATTCACACACAATACAGTTGAAACGCACTACATACTCAATTTGATGTCATATTTCGTATGAATACTAATAACGAATACAAATGGCTGTAATGTGCTTCTACTGACTGTAAAAGCTCCAGCAGACTCTGTTTCTAAAGCATTTAAAGTAGTAAACTCAAACCTTTCAATAGAAATTAAATCTCTGGTTAAACACAACAATAACCATTTCTCGTTTCTTGTGACATGTAAATATTGTAAATAGCAATATTTCTAACTGTAAATACTTTGCCCTTTTAACTGATCATGAATTAACTTATTTATTTATTTATTTAACTAAACATTTCTTAACAGTAAGCACTGATTGTCTAGGCCACTGTGTCTGTCCTTTCCAAGTCTCTGGTGCATTTTTAAAATTTGTTGAGAGGAAGGGAGCTCAGATTTGAGTGGTGTAGTTACTCTTAAAGACCAACTTACCCAGTAGGTCATTCTGAGGAATCCAGTCATATATTCGGGTGTTGGCACCCAGAGTCTCTGGTTTTTCTCCACGATATCTCCACAACACCTGTAGATAACAGTAAAAACACATTTTAGATTAACACAGTGCTAATTCGTTTGAAAATCACTTTGAGACATGCGTCCATCATAGATAACATTTTTGTTGACTTTTGTAGTTACATAGCATCACCTGATACTAAAGTTTCAAGCAGCAACTATAAACGGCAAAATCAACATCTAGGACATCTGTCACCAATCAAATAGCATTGCATTCACTAACTATAATATTGGAAAACAAAACCTAAAAAGCCTCCTTGACCCTATTTACGAGGAGAGATGATATTCCTTTGCTTGCAACCTTTGCCATGATATGAAAAGTGATTAAACATGGAAACTTTTATGAATTGACTTTTGAGCTAGTTTCAAGTCCTTGCAAGTTGATTTTCTACCAAAATGAATGGTTGTATGTTAGTATGCTGTGACAGTGGTCAGCAGGAATGTAAACGTTAAGGCAATCTGCAGAACATTGTGATGTAATGCAAAACTACGAAAGAATACTCTCACATGGAGATTGACCTCTGACCTTTTGTGGGATCTGAGCGAGAGCTGAGGCTATCATGTTTCCCTTCTCTACGGTGATGTTCTTGATGAATGATCCCAAAGTGAAGACCACGATGCCAGCGTCTCCAGAACTCTGCACAAACTCTTCCATATCCTGCAAGAATAACATTTCAATGCAAACCAACCAGCATTTTCTTTTCTGTCCTCCACATTTTAATGGCTTATTCTCTTCATTGTTCAATTCTTCAGTCAGGTGTGATAAAAGAGACAGCCTTACCTCTGGTAAAGGTTTAGCAGGTCTGCAGTGGATCCCGCCAACAAATTTGAAGTTAGGGAGGAAAGGACGAGGGAAATCAAAATCCCAGTAGGTTCGCATCAACCAGATGTCTGCTCTACTCATCATCTCGCAGGCACTGGTGGGTTTTCCTGTCACAATGCAAAACTAATGAATGCCAACCATCTATTGCAAAGAATCCCCAATACTTACAAATGAGATGGCTAATTTTGAACTCACTTAGAATATCAAATTGTTGACAATTTGATTAAAAAATCTGGTTTTACATACAGTGCTTCTTGTAGCTGAGTTGCTCACCTTTGATATCGGAGTAATATCTATCTAATTCTTTCCAAAAAATGTTACTCAGCACGATATCCTGCAGTGCGTAGAAGAGGAAGTTCCACACCCGCTCCGAGAAGTCCATGTTGTCGGTCAGTTTGCTCATAGCGCCGGGGACAAAGGAAGGTGGAGCAGGTAGCTGACCACACATTCTCTCCCAGTTATGGGCCATGGAAAAGCGCAGGGAGAAGACCAGGGGGATGCCCAAAATCTCTGCTGTTAAGTCACTGCCGGGGTACATGGGGTCAGCCAGGAGGAGGTCATATTTTCCCTCCTTCAGCCTCTTCATGATTGTTCCTGATTTCAGCACACCATCCAAATATTTCAAAGAAACCTGCATGTTGCTCTTCAACAGATCCATGAATCTAATGTAAAGCTGCAAGTAGCTCATATGATACTTCTCGTACATGGAGAAATGAAGGAACTCCTTCATGAACTCCTCCATGACCTCCAGTGAGACAGAGACATTGAATGGTTCATAGCGAAAGCGGGAAGGCTCACTGGTGTTCATGAACATTGTTGCGCTTGGGACCAGAACTGTCACCTGGTGTCCCCTGTCGATCAGCGTCTCCAGCACAGGCTTCATGTTAATCCAGTGACTGCCTTCAGTGTACCACACCAAAATCTTCCCTCCATTTGCGCTACATGTCACACAAAGTACCAGCAGGACACAAATAGAGAGACGCTGCTCCAGCTTCATGGTGCCTCTTTGTCAAGGGAGAATCCTGCTATAACCTCAAGCTAGGTGTTCCTAAGAAAGAGAAAATCAATAAACTAAATAAAGCTGATCTCTGGCACAGATCCTTTTTGTTCTGCACGACACATTACATAACAGTTACTCTCAATATGTCATGAATTAACTTGGAAGTTACACCCGACTTCACAGAGCACTTCCCCATTTGGAAGCTACACCAGAAGTCTCAGAGCACTTCCAAGTTAACTCATTAACTATTGCAAAAGGTGGGTAGGTTTTGTCTTGTCATGGAAGTTTATCCTGTTCTTTCCAAATCTCTGATTCATTTTTTACATTTACAAAAAAATAAGTATCTCATCAATGGACAGCCTTTTTCAGGTCTTTCTAGTCTTAATGATATGACCTTATTATGATAAGGTAATGAAACCAGGTTTTCCCCCATACATGATACTTAGAATTGAGGTCATTCTTGTCATCAGAGAGAGAGAGAATTTCTTACAATCTGAGAATTCTTTAGGTTCTTTTTTGCAAATACGAAGAAGACTTGTATGTCTTTCTCTGAAGAGAGCCTTCCATCTGGCCACTCTGCCACAAAGCCCATATTGGTGGAGTGCTGCAGTCATGGTTGTCCTTCTGGAAGTTTCTGCCATCTACACACAGGCTCTCTGGGGGCCAGCCAGGGTGACCGTCAGGTCACCTCTCTTACCAAATGATACACTATATAGTTGAATCACACTACATACTCAATTTGATGTCATACTTAGTATCCTGTTCTTTCCAAGTCTCTGATTCATTTTTTACAAGTAAAACGTATGGCCTATATAAGGCTACAGAAGTGAGTCAGTCTCTGTAAGGCCCCAAATTAAAATATTCAACTTTACATCAGAAATAAGCAGCCTGGTACAAACACCAGCCAGAACTGACAACACATGAACTCTCTTTCAGTTCGTGAAGCAAGTCAATTTCTACCCGGAGCAGGCTGGCTAAGCTTCCTTACTTGCTAACATTTCCGCTAGCAGAGTACTGTCTGAGTGGATATGTTAGTTGGCTTGCTTGCCAAATTACTTCAACAGCTAAAGCATTAGAACATTAGAATGAACATAATATAACTTCGTTATTTCTGCAAGTATACTAGTCATAATAGTCATACTTTGGGGTTGCTGCCATAGCACTTGACCATATTTGAATGTAGATGGCATGGTTCCTTTAGAAAACTTTGCTTTCTGGCTCAGCTCCCCCTTCACCACAATGGTCTGGTACAACGTGGGCATAATTGCTAACCAAGTGGTAACTTGTGTGGCTTGCAAATGAAGCAATGAGGCACAATGGTTCTTCAAAAGGGGGGAATTGGAGGGAATTACATTCCTCTAAAAAAGACTACACACACTACTCAGCCCTAATGACAGCTATGCTAGAATTGACTTTTTTTTATGAATAAAAAGGTTAGGTTATTTAGAGTAAAGAAATGTGAAATTCGAGGAGCAGATGTATCGGATCACTGTGCAGTTTATCTCAAAGTTAAATTAAAATCGCGGGAGAAAAGTACATTATGGAGGTTCAATGTCGGAATACTAAATAATAAATCAGTAGTGGAAGAGATAAAAAAAAAGACATTACAATCTATCAAAAGGAATGTGGGATGCTCTTAAAGCAGTTATAAGAGGAAAACTTATTGCAAAGACAGCAGCAATTAAAATGTTAAAGAGGAAGCCTATAAAAAAGAAGAGAAGCATGAAACTACATGAGACTCCTCACTGGTACCGAAATCAGGGATAATATAGATAAAATATTAATCACAGGAATTGAAAAGAAGACGAGGTTTCTTAAACAGTCTTATTATGAAGTGGGGCCGAGGGCAACCAAATTTTTGCCAAAAAGATTAAAAAAAACAACAGGCTGACAGACAATTCATAAGATAAAGGATGTAAATAAAAATCAGATAATCCATGAACCCAAGGAGATTGAAACTAAATGTATGAACTACTATGGGGACTTGTATAGCCAGCCTCCTTCGGCTGACACAGACCAAATGCAAGCTTTTCTTAAAATAACTAGACTTACCAGCAGTTGGGGAAATTCTGACCGCACCAATTACAAAAGCAGAAATAGAGAAAGCTGTAAATAAACTTAAACAAACAAATCTCCAGGCAGTGATGGCCTAACATCTGAGTGGTACAAAACATTCAGTGAACAACTTATACCACTACTCGAATTGACATTTAACTACACACTTGAATATGGTGAAATCCCCCCCTCCTGGAAAGAAGCTGTAATATCAGTAATACCAAAGAAAAACAACAGCGAGACTTGCTCAGATTATAGACCAATATCATTACTCAATATAGATTATAAATTGTATACTTTGATCATGTCAAAAAGATTTAAACACTTTATTAGTGACATCATCGAGGAAGACCAGACAGGCTTTATTAAGGGAAGCCAAACCCAAGATAACATAAGGAGAACTCTACATATCATTGATCATATTCAAAAAAAAATTATTAGTGCAGCCTTATTAAACATGATGCAGAAAAGGCATTTGATAGCGTCAGTTGGACTTTTCTATATCAAGTACTTGAAAAATTCGGACTTAACGACAAAGCCGTTGAATGTATTAAAACACTAATCGTCAAAAACCAACTGCATGGATAAAAATAAACGGCAGTCTGACTGACAGTATAATTTTACAACGGTCTACCAGGCTGGTTTGTTGTCTTCACCAACCTTCTTTGCAATTTTCATAGAGCCCCTGGCACAAGCAATCAAGCAGAATAATGATCTTAAAGGGATAAAGGTTGGGAGAGAAGTACACACCATTGGGCTTTTTGCTGACGACGTGACCTGTTTCTTAGAGGACCCAGACATATGTATTCCCATATTAATCAACCAACTTGAGACATTTGGTTTCTGCTTGGGATACAAGCTGAATCTGACTAAAACGCAAATCTTAACATTTAACTACTTTCCATCTAAAAACATACAACTAAAATATAATTTGAATTGGAGTGCAACAAAAATGAAATATCTTGGGGTCACCTTAACACGAAAAATTGACGAATTATATGAAGCCAATTATATCAAAGTGGATAAGGAAATTAGGAATGATATGGATAGTCGGGCTAGACTTCCATTAGACATTGATTCACGAATAGAGACCATACAAATGAATATTCTCCCTCGTATTCTCTACCTGTTTCAATCACTATCCATTGAGATACCTGAGAAACAATTTATAATATGAGATAAAGTAATTTCAAGGTTTATATGGTATAGTTATAGACCAAGAATCAAATTTGAAACATAACAGATTGGGAAAGATAAGGGAAGTATGGTGCTGCCAAACTTTAAGGAATATTTTCATGCAGCACAAATTAGACCTGTAATTTGCTGTTGTGATAAAAACTATGTAGCAAAGTGGAAAAATTTAGAGCAATTTGTACATGGAAGGGAAATTCAAAGCCTTTTTTGGGACAGAGAAGAAACAATGAGTATGATTGAACAGGTGGATACCGTCACCCAATTTACATTAAAATTGTGGTTTAACCTAGTACAAAAATATAGACTGGAGAAAGAGCTTAGACTACTTCAATGGATAGCCTATGACAGACATTTTATCCCTAGTGCTCTTGACCAGAGGTTAAACACTGGATTACAAGTGGAATAACAGCAATATGTACAGTAATAAAAAATGGGAATTTCATGAGTTTCCAGGAGATTAAACAAAAATATAAATTAAGTAACCAGGACCATTTCAGATTTGTGCAAATAAGGGACTTTTTTGACAAAGAAATAAAGCATAATGTAAATTTGGATGAAAATGGAATAATAAGAACCATGATTAGAATCCACAATTCAAAGAAATATAGAATAATATCTACAATATATCGCCAACTAATGGATGGAAGAGGGAATACAACTTCATATGTAAAACTGAAATGGGAAAGAGAGCTAGGTGTAAATATTTCGGAAGATGATTGGTTGCATAGTTGGAGAACACGACAGTCAACCACATCATCACGTAATTGGAGATTATTTTGTTGGAAGAATTTAATTATATTCTTTACCACGCCCAGAATTAAGAACAAATACTTATCTTTACCACAGCCATGTTGGAGAAAATGTGTAGCTATAAATGTAGATCATTCTCATGTTTTTTGGCTTTGACCTTAATGTAATATTTTGGGAAGATGTTCATCTGGTTATCGTCAGAATTCTAAGTCATGTTTATTACTATATTTTGGCAATATGACCGGGAATGCTGTGTTAAAAGAGGACAGATATTTGTTGAACATTTTGTTAGCAGCTTGTAAAAAAGCAATAACGAGAAAATTGTATAAGCCAGACCCACCAACACAAGATGATTGGCAGAAAATTGTGAATGAAATACATGTTATGGAACAGTTCATAAGATAAGGACCCAAGAAGAACAATATCGAGAAAAGTGGGGAAAAAATGGACTGTCTACACGCCAACGATAGGATAAGACTACCACACTGACAATAATATAAGAACAAACTGTAGAAACATGGCAATCCAGCGTGTTCTTTTTCTGATTGTTGCAAATGAAAATCAATAAAACTAAAGTATAAAAAGGTTAGTTGGAGAGCCCATTTTCTTCTAAATATACATATAATATGTTAATTTATTTTACAATTGGTAACTATTGATGTAAAAGGGTGCACTAAGGCCAGACACAAACCTTCAATAGCAATAAGCTAAACATTCTACAGCCATTTTCTCAAAATGACATTTTGCTTTCACATCTTGACAGCACCCAAATTTTACATACCTGGAATATTTTTTTATAATAGTAATTATAATAGTTTTTTCATTTTGTCAGGCATTTTTTTATTTTTCAGTGCATGACATGTTTTCAAATGTAATTGTTTTTAATTATATTTTGACAAAATCCTCCCACTATCACCAGCTATTTAGTTATTGATCACCAGAAAGGGAGACAAAGTTCTGACTGTATTTGCTTAATATAATGATAAAAAAAAGTCATAATACAGAAAAGTCAAATTTTTGGGTCTATATTAACCTGCCAATGTTTCATTCTCATGGGATAAAAGGATTGCTTACTACTGCCATCTAATTCAGGTAAACCATTTAAGTCTGTCTAGTACTGTGCTGGGTTAGATATGTCAACATCTATGTGAATTATTGGCCGAAAACTTCTCGAAATGTATCATAACAAAAGAGTGGCAACCCTGAATTCAGTCACTCAGTCTTTCTCTTTGTCTTTCCCTTAATGCACTTCCGGAAGCAGAAACTGCAGGTCTTGATGAATAGGAGTACGAGGAACAGAACGATTGCAAGGAGGAAGACCAGCACATCCACGCTGTGATACTGGTACCAGGTGAGCTCATGGGCCTGGACCCTCAGGTGTTTGGCCCCTTTGTTTCTCATGGTGAACTCGATCCAGAATACCGCCTCATCCCGAGGACTCATTGGTCTGTCGTGGTGGATACTGGACAGCCGCATGGCATTCTCCTTGTACCTATGGGGATATGTAGGGATTTTTTGTTTAATGTATTTTAACACTTAAATCTCCAACAGAAAAAAACAGTATATGCATGGAAAACGCCATCCAGTGGTTTTGTAATCTTTTTCATTTTTTTTTATGTGGTGGTAATTGCACCCTGTCATACTGTGTTAGACTATGGGTCCTCGGCATGGCGTCAGTCTTGCTTCTGTTTTAATGCAGACGCTCCAAAAAATTTTCATTACCTTTCAATACCCTAACACAGACTAAGTGCAGACAGGTGAGAAAACTTACGATTTCTCGTTGGTGACAGCATTGATTGCATCTCTAAGGTCCTCAGTCTTCATGAAGTTCAAGCGTACGTTAACTGCAGCTCCCTTAGCCTTAATATGAACCATGTTGTCCGGCTGGTCAGCGAATATGGGGATACCCACCATGGGAACACCGTGGTAGATGGCCTCATATATCCCATTTGCGCCACCATGGGTGATAAACGCTCTGGTCTTGGGGTGACCTGATAGGGTAACAAGAAAATGATTAACCATATGATTCATAAAGAACATATTTAGACCTGTTCATTTGTTTTCCATTTAGTTATGTTGGAACCTTGTGCTAAAATTGTTTAAATTAATTTTTCATCAATCTATAGTCAGTACCCTGTAATGAAGGGATTGTTTTCGAATGTATTAAAAAGCGGGGAAAAAATAAGTATCTCATCAATGGACAACCTTTTTAAGGTCTTTCTAGTCTTAATGATATGACCTTATTATGATATGGTAATGAAACCAGGTTTTCATGAAGGCTCCATGCAGTTTTCCCTCCACCCTGAGAAGCCCCCAGCCCTTGCTGCTGAAAAACACCCCCAGAACATGATGCTGCCTGCCACCTTCCATCTGGCCACTCTGCCACAAAGCCCATATTGGTGGAGTGCTGCAGTCATGGTTGTCCTTCTGGAAGTTTCTACCATCTACACACAGGCTCTCTGGGGGCCAGCAAATGATACACTATATAGTTGAATCACACTACATACTCAATTTGACGTCATACTTAGTATCCTGTTCTTTCCAAGTCTCTGATTCATTTTTTACATTTGTTGAGAGGAAGGAAGCCAGCAGATTTGAGTGGTGTAATTGCACATTTTAAAAGTAAAATGTATGGCAGAGTATGTTTGCTGTTGAATGGATGAGAAGCTTTTATGAAAAACCAACTTACCCAGTAGGTCATTCTGAGGAATCCAGTCGTATATTCGGGTGTTGGCACCCAGAGTCTTTGGTTTTTCTCCACTATATCTCCACAGTACCTATAAATAACAGGAAAAAAACCTTTAGATTATCATAATGCTAATTTTATGTCAGAACTTAATGCACTGCAGTACATTTTACAATATGTGAATCAGTCTCGGACTTGAACCTTGCTTCAGATAAAAATCCGTCACAGATAATATTTGGTTTTTGTTCTTACATAGCATCATCTGGTACTTAAGTTTACATTTTTATATTTTAGGACATCTGTCAACAATCAAATAGCATTGCATTATAATGTAGTATAATATTGGGGGGGACCCTGAATAGCCTCCTTGGACCTTTTTACAAGAGTTAAAATATTTCTTTGCTTGCAACTTGTGTGATGAAAACATAAGACTCACAAAAATGAATGTAAACTTTTATGAATTGACTATTTTGAGCTAGTTTCAAGTCCTTGCAAGTTGATTTTCTACCAAAATGAATGGTTGTATGTTAGTATGCTGTGACAGTGGTCAGCAGGAATGTAAACGTTAAGGCAATCTGCAGTACATTGTGATGTAATGCAAAACTACGAAAGAATACTCTCACATGGAGATTGACCTCTGACCTTTTGTGGGATCTGAGCGAGAGCTGAGGCTATCATGTTTCCCTTCTCTACGGTGATGTTCTTGATGAATGATCCCAAAGTGAAGACCACGATGCCAGCGTCTCCAGAACTCTGCACAAACTCTTCCATATCCTGCAAGAATAACATTTCAATGCAAACCAACCAGCATTTTCTTTTCTTTCATCATCATTTTAATGGCTTATTCTCTTCATTGTTCAAGTCAGGAATACCGAAATAATAGATTAATGATAGTGGCAACAGCTTTACCTCTGGTAAAGGTTTAGCAGGTCTGCAGTGGACCCCGCCAACAAATTTGAAGTTAGGGAGAAAAGGACGAGGGAAATCAGAATCCCAGTAGGTTCGCATCAACCAGATGTCTGCTCTACTCATCGTCTCGCAGGCACTGGTGGGTTTTCCTGTCACAATGCAAAACTAATGAATGCCGACCGTCCATTGCAAAGTATCCCCAATACTTCAAATGAGATACCTAATTTTTAACTCACTTAGAATATCAAATTGTTGACAATGTAATTTAAAAAATCTGTTTTTACATACAGTGCTTCTTGTAGCTGAGTTGCTCACCTTTGATATCGGAGTAATATCTATCTAATTCTCTCCAAAATATGTTACTCAGCACGATATCCTGCAGTGCGTAGAAGAGGAAGTTCCACACTCGCTCTGAGAAGTCCATGTTGTCGGTCAGTTTGCTCATAGCGCCGGGGACAAAGGAAGGTGGAGCAGGTAGCTGACCACACAGTCTCTCCCAGTTATTGGCAAGGGAAAAGCGCAGGGAGAAGACCAGGGGGATGCCCAAAATCTCTGCTGTTAAGTCACTGCCGGGATAGACAGGGTCAGCCAGGAGGAGGTCATATTTTTCCTCCTTCAGCCTCTTCATGATTGTTTCTGATTTCACCACACCATCCAAATATTTCAAAGAAACCTGCATGTTGCGCTTCATCAGATCCATGAATCTAATGTAAATCTGCAAGTAGCCCATATAATCCATCTCGTACATGGAGAAATGAAGGAACTCTCCCATGAACTTCTCTATGACCTCCATTGAGACAGAGACATTGAACGGTTCGTAGCGAAAGCGGGAAGGCTCACTGGTGTTCATGAACATCGATGCGCTCGGGACCAGAACTGTCACCTGGTGTCCCCTGTCGATCAGCGTCTCCAGCACAGGCTTCATGTTAATCCAGTGACTACCTTCAGTGTACCACACCAAAATCTTCCCTCCATTTGCACTACATGTCACACAAAGTACCAGCAGGACACAAATAGAGAGACGCTGCTCCAGCTTCATGGTGCCTGTTTGTCGAGGGAGAATCCTGCTGTGACCCGATCCTTTTTAAAAGGTGCCTCTGGAAAAATAATCATTAACTAAACAAAGCTGAACTCTGGCATATAATGAACCCAGCCCAAGCAAGTTACAGGTTAAAGGCAGTGGGGGTAAAGTTAACAGTCAGTACAAAAAAAAACAAGAATAATCCCTTAACCTGTACTAGAAAATCCGCAAACAGAAAGTAAAAAAAGACTTTGTTATGCTACCCAGACTGAACTTGTTAGCTGTAGAGAGATGGGGTAAAATGATACAAAAGCATAATGATTTCAGCTAAATGGGCTTGGACACACTTCCGTAATCTGAGGAAGTTGTGTGTGCATGTTGTGACTCTGGAACAATTTCCATGCATGCCACTGAAGTGTAGGAGGTGACGTCTTAGTTTTTGTGAGAGAGGTATTATTGTTGCTTGAGGATTTTTAGGGTATAGGATAGTGAGATAGGAGACAGATTCCGTTTTAAAGTCACGTTTCAAAACTGTGGTGATCCCTGACTTTTTCTCTAGCACCACCACGAGTTTGACATTTGTGTTTTGAGTATTGAGAATTACCTCAAAATCTCAATTTAGATCTCAATCTCAAACTTTTAGTGTTGCATACTGTATGATTTTTTTGGGGGGTTGGTACCCAACATACCCTCAAGAAATTACAGTGAAACATGCCAGGTTGTTTGTAAATTTGACAAATCACTTTGTCCAATACTTTGGTTTATGACCAAACACCTAAATAACTAAAGACATTCCTATCAGCTTAAGTTGTACTTTGTCTTTAGGGCTAATCAGCATGTTAGCAGGCTGAAGTTAGCATTTAGCTCAAAGTACCATAGTGCCTAAGTAGGGCCTCACAGAGCTGTTAGCATGGCTATAGACTCTGGTTTTAGAGATGCATCTACCATTAGAATGAGGCAGCTGATTTCAGAAACCGGCAGGGGCCAGAGAGGTCAGCTCGGTGTGAATATTCGGGAGGCGGGGGGGTTGTCGACCAAGCCTTTCGGAGCCAGTGGCGTTGAGGCTGTGTTGTTCTTGGGAAATGTCACATCCAAATGTTTGGGTGTCTAAATCTTAACTGCGGGTACTTTGGCCCCCTCATTAACATTGTAGATTCCTTTTGACGCTGGATTCAGGAGCGTCTGGAAAAACAATAAGCATTTGAATATTGAATTCAATGCCCTGTTGAGGGAGTCAGTGGCCATTCAGAGTGTGTGAGTGTATACTGTGAAGTTCTCAGACCTCCCCTGGTGGTAAAAAGTGTGTGGGAGAAACTAGTATTAGGTATATCAGCGTGTTGCGTACAAAATTGCACAATCATTGGCTAACTGCATTTTGACCTATTTCATTTTCTCAGGTATTCAACCATCTACCCTTCCCTCTCTCTACATTCCTGCTGATTCTCCTTTCTTCCGTCTTCCTCGCTCTGTCTTTCCACCACAGGGTAAGGGTTACAGCGCATTGCTTTTTGAAGTAGATATTTGCATAATCAGATTAGGATGCGTGATTGTCAGTGGGCTCCCCCATCAGAGGGTCCTCCAGAGGAGAGAGGGTGCTGTCCAGCCCAACAATGGATGACTCCCCTCCTCGCCCACCCTCCAACCAGCCTGCACCTGCATCCCACCCACCCATCCGAGCCGCAGGTCGGCCACGACGGCAGTCCACGCTCGCACTTGCAGCCGTGGAGGGGTGAGAGAGAGCGGGGGAGGAGGCAGGGAGGAAAAGCGAAGGAGGAGGGGTGTTCGAGTGCATGACGGGAGTGGGAGGGCAGGGGTTGAGCTGAGATATTTAAACATGCAGAGTGTGAATTGGCTTTAAGGGGATAAAGAGCTCAGGGCCTATCGGTTGGCACCCAACTCCAGAAATTCTTTTTTATGGGCGCCTCAGCCGGGAGAGCGAGGGGCTGCCTGCACTGATCTGGCCCATTGTGATAACAGATTCAGACAGTGTGCTAGACGCTGATAAGGAAATGTGCTCTCAATAGACGATTACCCACATACTTGGGAGAGAATAGTCAATCAGGCAAATATACTTGGTGGAGGGAATGAGAAGCGTACAGATTTGTTATTATTTTCAACGCAGGGTTTCATAATCCTGCTAAAAAGTTGAGGTCAGAGTAATGCTCACACTGTGATTGGGCGATTTCTGTAAATAAGGTGTATCAGCAAAATGCATTTCACAGCCTTGACAGCATGTTTGCAAACGCTGTCACATGCCTTCCTATCCAGTTTCAACTGAGGATGGAATAATTGAACATGAATGAATTCCACCAAAACATTCAACATACACAGACCAGTTTTTTATTTGATTTTTTATATTACATCTCATATTATCAGCTAATCCAGCCAATAATAACCATAGTAGTTGTATTTGGTGTTATTGCAGTTCACCATGAAATTGCTCAATTCACTGTGAAATTGAACAAAAGGTAAATACTTCCCCGCTGCTGTACAGTTGTTTTCGCTCTCTCGGTACAATATGATTTATTAAGTATTTTTGCATGATTACAAAGAGTCACCTGTCAGTTCCCACAGGCCTCCAGTCAGTGTGTCCAGCTGCCCTCTGCTCCGTTTACACAGCATTAGGCAGAGTTTAACGACCGGGGTGAAAGCGCCTGAAACCAACTCAGTGTTTACTCTTCAGCTTAGTTAGTTGCTAACCCTTCGCCTGAAAACGGGGCACATTTTCTACAGTCACAATAGGCGATTAGGCATGTAAATGTCTGACCTCAGTTTTAAATGGAGTCTGGCGCAAACAAAACTACTGATATTGGAGCTAGAGCTATAACAAATAGTCCATTGATCAATTTGTCTATTGACAGAAAATAAATCAGCAACTATTTTGATAACAGATTAAGTGCCTATTTATTTATTAAGTAATTTATTAAACCTAAATAACAAATATTTAATGGTAGCAACTTTATCCATGTGAGGATTTGCTGTGTTTTTCTCAGTTTTTTATTATTATAAACTTAGTTTTGGACTGTTAGTCCTACAAAGCAAGTGATTTGAAGACATCACTTTGAATTCTGGGGGATTAAAATGTGCATTTTACACTATTTTCTGACATTTAATAGTCATTTAATAGACTAAACAATTCATCAGTTAATTGAAAAAAAAGATTGATTATTCAATAATGAAAACAGGAATGAATTGGTGGGTTGTGTCATTTCTGTTGGCCTGTTTCATGTAGTTCCTGCCTTTTATACTCAGTAGTTACCATTTGCAGCAACAAAGTGACACTTTCCTTAAGAAAACCACATCTACACGCTGGTCAACTGGACAGTGTTTTGACTCCAGAATGACCTCCGACCCCAGGGTCGCAAGTTAAGCTGTCACTTTCAGCGCTTCTTTCTCAGGCCTCTGGTCAGTGGACAGAGAGCAGAGGTCAGCTTTGTGTCCACACGGTCATCACAGGACCTGCAGACAAATGTTTCTGGGCTTCTTGAGCACGGACAAAGAGGCAGCAGCTCTACTCTTAACTTCAGATCAGTTGTGTCTTACGCAATGTGAAACCATTTCAGGGGAGTCTTAACAGTGTGGCCCAATTCCACATGCAAATTATCTCAGCATACTGTTTTTGCAGTTGGTATACAAAAAAATCAGCATACTAAACTGCTTAATGCTAACAGGAAATTATACAATATGTGGTGATGCGTATCAGTCAAACTGCGACCGAAATGCCAAGTTATTTGATTTTTTTCTGCTTTCCTGGAGCTGTTTTATCACAGTTTGTCTTATTATTTTTTTTCTAAACTCATAAATTCTAAAATGTTTAAGAGCGACAAATGATTTTTGTAAAAAAAGATTCAGATAGTGTTTTTTATTAACAAATCATTTATTAAATAAATAGTTCAAATAAATAACATACTGTATATTCACAAGCAAACCAAAATAAGTTACAAAAGAGGTATCGGAAGATAATTAGCACACTCTTTACAGCAGACAATCAATTCATAATCTTTGGCTATATGACATGCATATTTTACAGAAACTCAAACGAAAACACATTCAAATAAGAAGATGTTTGTGTGGTGAAGCGCGTAATTACTGAAAGAGGATTGTCAGTTTTGCCAAAATTCCTCAGCCCAATCCTCAATAGTCAGAAATCAACAAATACTGAACATTGTTGTTTAAAAAGAGGCGAGAAACAGGAAAAGTCTTTCTCAAAACAAATTCTTCTGAAGTCACATAACCTTGATAAATAAAAGTAAAGGTCAGATTTAGTCTTCTCGAGAAAAAAAAAAAACAGCATGTCGATAAAAAAAGTGCCCTTGGCTATTTTGAGACGATTGCAGTCTGGAGAATTGGCTGAGCCATTATCTATTCAAATGCTTTGCTGAATCTATCGCTTGAAATGAGAAATTCCTTAATCCCCCTCCATTTTCCTCATCGGCAAAAACACCCTCTCACTGCAAAACTAAATTAGTTCCAGGCGGCCGGCAACAAGGAATATTAACATGAAGACATGATGGGAATATTGTACATCCAGGTTTTACACATCCATGCAAAATACAAATTTAATTTCACCCGCAAATTATATTTCAACACTGATCAGCACGGAGGCTGTGCCGACATGTTCTGCCGCATATCGCAGCTTCTGCATTGAACACGTGTCACACACAGGTGACAAATGCAGAGACAAAAATGAGTCTTGAGGAAGGACAAAATCAGTTTTTAAACCCAGGATAAGGGGTCCACTCAAGAGGTTTATTTTTTTTTTTTGTATTTTGTGGATGTGTTTCTACCAGGCCTCTGAGCTGTCGCAGCTGGATCCAGGTGACGGGACTTCTGTGTCACTGGTCATGGCCCAGGGGTGTGGAGGGGAGTGCAGTTGCTCCATGTTTCCTCTGAGGAAGGTGAGCAGCGCGGTGGGGGAGTGGCTGGCCGGCTGACCGCTCTGGCTCTCCAGCAGCTGTACCAGGAAGTTGATGTAGCGCATGGCCAGACGCAGGATCTCGTTCTTGCTCAGCTTCTTCTCCGGAGGATGGGTGGGGATTAGCTTACGGAGCTCGGCGAAGGCAGTGTTGACGTTGTGCTGGCGCCAGCGCTCCCTCGTGTTCGTGAACACCTTCCTGGTCATGGTGCTGAGCAGAGCTGCAACCATTAGTTGATTAAATGATTAGTTTATTGACAGAAAGTTCATCAGCAACTGTTTTGGTAATGAAGATTTTATGCTTGTTTTTATCATTCGTGATAATAAACTGAATATATATTTAGGTTTTTGACTCTTGGTTGGACAAAACAAGACATGAAGACTGGGAACTTGAAATGGACAAAACAATTAATTGAAATGAATTTGCAGTGCTGCTGCGCATGTTTTATGATACACTACAATCTAGCTGTAAACAGATATTTCATATGTCAACATCTCTTCCTGTGTGTACCCCTGAGTGGAGGCTGGTGTATAAACAGATAATTAACACAGTAAAACACTGGTGTGATCATATAAAACATGTTTTCATAAGAGAGGTTATAACTGTTGGCAAATACTGAAAATTGCAATGCATGTTAACTACATTATGTATCAAAGACCATTTATTAAATGGCTATATTGTGCTATTAAATTCAAATTTGCTGCATTACAGTGTTACCAGATTTGTTTTTAAGAGACTTTCTGGTTAAATAAAGGCTTTGTCACAACAACAAAAAATCTAAAATTATCATTATAAACAGATAATTTGAAATTCCACTTCATTCAGACTCTGATATAAATGCACATCATTTATGTACCCTTACACTATAGCTGCAAGAAAAGAGTACACAGTATCCTCTTGCATTACATTCTCTCGCTGATTAATTATTTACTTGACCAAAGCGGAGACATGTGGCCTCAAGGGGAACACAATCCTTCAGCATACAACGCATTTCTCACCTGTATGTGTGTAGAAATGTGCAAATCTCAGAGTGGTCCTCTGCAGAGCATCAGTTGTCCAGGCGTCCGGCGTGAATGTCCACTCAGTTATGTCTTCTCATGTTCGCTGAGAGAGATCCTTTTGAGCGAGAGGGAAGGAGAGAGTGAAAGAGAGAGAGAGTATAAGGGAGGGAGGGATGGGGAACAGAGAGAGAGAGAGAGAGTAGGGGTAAGACTGCTGCATGCTCGCATCCCACATTTTATAGCAGGTTGAACCCTATTGTGTGACGTGTGCTGTCGTACAGCCCCTGGCATTGTGTGAGGTTGGTCTTAATACACCCCCCCTCCCCCCCGCCCCCCCTCTCTTCTATCATTTAGAACCAATGCAGGTGGCTTTATGATGATATTGTCCATAAATCATCCCTTTAAATGATTTTCATAGGTGTTTCTGTGCAACATTTGAAGGGATTCTGGGTGCTTTTTTTGGCAGCTCTGAACAGCCTTTTAAGTGACTATTTGTGCTGCTTTTATGATTCATTGCTCATTTAATCCTTGAAGGTTTGCACTAAAGGTGACAAATAAATTCCCATTGAAGGGAAACTGAGACGTTCATCTCTCTGATCCTTCTCTTACTGCTGTGGACACTTGTTCCTTTCTGTTTCTCTGACATTAGGCATGGACAACCCACCTTCCCCTCCACTGTGGAAAAGACCTTGATATCACTGCCTGCTCTGCCATTGAATTCAGCCTGATTGGGCCACAAAAGGTAAAAATACCATATCCAGATTGACAGTCGAACAATATGGGTTTTGTTATGACTATGGTAATCTTGTTGAGCCATTCCAAGGGGCCACACATAAATTATAGAGGAAACAGGGAGAGCACAACGTCTTGACTCACCTCTCTCCAACCACTCCTCACTCCTCTCTCCCCCCTCTTTCTGCCTCCCACTTTCAACCTCCGTTCAGATAAAAAAAACAAGTCTAGTTTAACCAATTGTCACTGTTCTTTTTACACCCTTCAAGTGTTGTTTCAAAGACGCAGCCTTCCATAAAAGTCTCTGTGTGGAGTAGGAATTTACATAATCCGATTAGGGGCTGGGATTAGCCCGGGGCCTGGAGAACAGGCCCGATGGGGGCCGTTTTCTGAATCGGCCATTCATGGGCCCTGCTGCACGTCCAAGAGCCTGCACCTGCAGGCCAGGCGCCACCGCTCTCTGGCTCCATCCAGCCTCCACTGCAGGCTTGAAGGTCTGCAGACACACTCACTGAAGGACATTTTGGCCAGTTCATCACACAGACTAGGCCAGGTGAAGATTATACCTGATTTGTTGTAATTTATTTGTAAGGCAGGTTGCGGCTGAAGGCTAAATAAGCACGACAAGCTACAATTTGAAGCCACTTGTGGAATTAATTGCGTTGAATTAAGTGTAACATTTGATATGTAAGCACACAGGGTGAGTTCCATGAGGTCCAGTCTGGCAGCAAAGGGCTTAAATAACAAACTGCAGACTTAGTTGTGTTTATTATTGTATTTACACACTGCGTGTTTTATTAGTTCATACATTTTTACATGTGTAGAAAATTCCTGCACACAGAGTTGGTGCTGCAGCTTTATTAGCACTACAACAAGTAGTCGAATAATCAATTAGTCAATAGACAGAAAATCTGCAATTATTTTGATAAACAAGTATTTTTTTTGTCATTTTTCAAGCATAAATGCAGAATAATAATTGCTTCCAGGTTATGAGCTGTGAAGGCTTGCTTTGACTTTTAACCAATAAACTGATGACTAAAAAAAAAGATGAATCCATAATTAAGTTAAGAAGGTTAATCCATAATGACAATAATCTTTCAGTTTGTTTGTTGATTTGATGGCATTTCCCATAAAAAGCGTTTATCTGATTTTTAATATCTTTGGGTTTTGGAGTTTTGCTTAACTTAAAATAAACCATCTGAACAAATCTCGTTGAGCTGTGGGAAACTATACTGGGTGTTTTTCAGTTTATAGCCAAAATGATTAATCGAGAAAATAAATTATTGTCAGATTAATCATTGAACATAATAGAAAATAAAGAGAAACACCTTTAATAAGCCAGTAAACTGATTACTTTACTGGCCTCACTGGTGGCCCTTGCCAGCTTACGCCTGTATTTACTGTTCAGGTTACCGCACCAGCAGCACATTGGATCTAGACTTGTGCAAGATGTTCTTAGACCAATCATTGGTTCACAAATAATTATCAACTGCCCAATTATCAAAAGTTGGCACCTTTTTAAATAAAGAAAGTAAATATGGTTTTAATTTTTACTATAATGATCACTCTTAAGTTGCTCTCTTACTTTGAAATCATTGTTTGCAAATTAAGTAACAGTTCATTAACATACAATTTACTAGCAGATTAAATGGTGAGAACAAACAGTAATACCTGACTTGATATTGTTATAAAAAAATAATTTTAACAATAAAAATAAATAATAATAAACTTTCTTAATCATAGTCTGTAACATAGGTACAGTATAGGTCTGTCCATACTTTGTATATCGGGAAGATACATAAAAACACATATTACTACTTATTAGGTTAATACTGACTAGTAATTGCTGCCTTGTAGGATTTGGTGGGGGGAGTCAATGTGACTTGAATACTGACTAATGACTATGCACAGTGCCTTATTCCTCATTACCTCATCTTATTAACATCTTGCAGCGATGGTTATTGTGTCAAAATACTCCTTCAGGGATGTGTAATTTTTTTTAATCAGCGGTTTAAGCAAACAAATGTGCACCTTAAGTCACCGGAAACCCCCCTTCTGCTGGAGTTCTGGGATTTATTTGCAGCGAAGAGGAAACACACAGGTGACTGTTAACTGCTGCCTGTGATAAAAGATAACAGCTGTGTGACCTTTACAGCTGCAGTCGGAGTAGGATCCAAATCTAAAGGATGGCTTTAAACAGCCTGTTAATTCCCACAATATCTCTCCTGCCCCATTCAATCCAGGGCTAAAGTATAGTCAGGGGCAATTACTGCACCATTACGCTGCTATTTACCTAGCCTTCATATGGGGAATCCTTTGACCATCCTGCCACCACAGCTTTTGTTCCGGTGCCATTAAAAAAACAAACCATTTAGTGTGTCTCTTTTGTTTGTCCACTGCCTGTTAGAAGGCAGAGGCCTGAGAGACAGACAGACAGAAAGAGAGAAAGAGAGAGATGTTAAAAAAAACAAAAAAAAACCTGGCGGGTTATTGATGGTGGCTAGCCAGTGCTGGATATGGCTGTCCAGAGGCAGGGAGGCTTGGAGTCGATGTCCCCGGGGGTCGTCTTTGTCTGGGGATCATTCCTGAGGGAGCTGGCTTCACTCTGCTGGCTCGTGAAGATAAGCACTCTCTCCACATGCTGAGAGACGATGATAAGGGGATTGCTTCACTAAATGAAAAAAGAAAAAAAATAGCCCCACCATTGGAGCTGCTAAAATGAGAAGCTTTATCAGTTTAGTTGGGAAAGACCCCCGATCCCACTCCTCCAACCATAAATCACACTTTGTTTTTCACTACTGGGCATGCTCAGAATGGGGGGGGGAACAAAACCAAAACCTGCACACAGTTGTAATCTTGATATTTAGTCTTATTTTGTAAGAATAAATTGGTAACATTACTTAGAAGCAGAATGTACACATATATGTGAATTTATATGTGTTTATTAATGTGCAGCATTGTCAACAATTACAACTTATTTACAACTGTATCATATTGCCATTCATTATCTGTTTATACACCAGCATCCAGTTTTGAATGCTTAACAGGAGTTACATAGTGCATAAAATAATACGTAAAATAATAAACAATTGTATGTTTTGTTTGAATAAATTTGTCTTAAACCAAGCAATACGAAATACTATAACAATAACAAAATACTATTAAAATACTAAATTATCAGTATTTTATATTAGACTGAATTAGAATTAATTAGTTATCTCTCTCTCTCTGCTGCAATTTAAGTTGTTTAAAAATCAAATAGACTAAAGCACTGTTGCTTGTTAAATATAGAATAAACATACAAAATGTAGAATTTTTGTTTCCAAAACAGGAAACTTAACTTGCAATGGAAACCTTCTTGCACTCAAACCAGGAAAACTTAACAAGTTATTTCATCTGAATAAAAACTCTGAAGCTAAACTTGAATTATACAATTAATAACTTGAATGTAACAACGCTTTAAGGATAGATCTCGCTCTAGTCTTTACAAACAGCTCACAGGAAATGCCTAAAATAATTTAAGCCTCGTCTGTCCATCACTTCTGCCGGGCACCTTCTCATAGCTTAACCTTCCCTTCTTCAGTGGTGTCAACACTGCAAAACAAACACAAGGAAATATCTTAATCTGCTAAAGGGAGCTTCAAAAAGAGTCAGAAACATAAGCCAGGTTTCCATCCAATTGTAGAGCCAATTCTGACCAATTTTCTTGGCAATTGGCAAAAGGAAATTGCAAATGAATGGATTTTTCCACCCACTACTTCTATGTGAATATTAGGAGTTGGGTACATTAAGACAAACAGCTGGTGGCACGATGGAAATATGGAATTTATGTGTTTTATTTCATGTATTAATTTGAGGAAGGACGGAAACCACACCAGTAGCCACTATCATTCACCTGTTCCAACCAAACCTGCAGCCTCGCCGTTCCTCTTCCTCTCTTGTCCGATCCAGCATTTGGACCCATAGTTAGGTGAAACTGTCGCCGTCTCTGCAGTGCTGGTGAAGCAGTCGTTGCTGCTTTGTCCTAGACCCCACAGCATGACCCCTGTAGGAGGGCTCAGGCTGTAGGAAATGTGGTTGTGATGTGGACGCTGGGGGTCACTGTGAGCTGCGGAGTACGTGGACGTTTGACTGTTGGCTGGCTGCTGCACGATGGGGCTGTAACTGAACGTGGAGTCCAGCTTGAAAGGACTGTCCAGCTTTGTTGGAGCCCTCTGTGTCCACTCATGTTTCACTCTTTCAACAACACCCCCCAATGCTCCAGCCCTGCCTCTCCAGTCAGAAAACTCCCCTCTGCCTCTATCCTCCTCTTTCCATGGATCACTGCTGGTCCAGCTCCTCTGGAGGTGAACATCTGGGCTGCCAGAGGAAAAACTCAGGTTGATTCTGAAATCCGTATTGCCATCCTGCACCATCGAGTCTGGTTCACAGAAGCTGTGATCTGCTCCAAACAGGAAGCTGGACTTGTGGTCACTACAGAATAGTTCTGGGTGGGGGTCGATGGGGCGTCCTGGTTGTGGGTCAGGGTTCATGTCCTTGGGGTCGGCAGTGGTGGTCCAGGGGCTGTTTGGCGGGTTGTTTTTTTGGTTTGTCTGAGACTCTGGCTGGTTTGGGTCTGGGGTCAGCGTGTACAGGGAGGTGGTGTCACTGAACAGCTAAAACCAGGAAGAGAAGAGGGGCTATTAAGTGAGATTCAACTTTCCTTATTTTAAGTCTTTTGTAATGTTGGTTAGACAAATAATGCAAGTTACTTTGGGCTCTATCTAGTCAGTCTGACATTGGGTTCATGTTAGCCCATTTCTGACAGGGAATGTTTGGCCCTCACCAGTTATTAGGAAATGACATGGCTGCAGCCAACATCATTTTCAGTTGACAAGGAAATTGTGGTGGTGATTGGTTGAGTAGCAGCAGAGTTCTAAAAGTTGACTTACAACATGTGCAGCGGTGTAGATCTCTTCCACACCTGTTGCTATTTTGAATGGATGCAGCTAAGAAGCTATTCTTCCATTCTTTCCTGCCCACAAGATTTATTGGTTGACCGTTTCTTCAACCAGCTGAAATAGCCACCAATGGCCTACCCTCATTCGTTGTATTTACGACATAACCATGTGACCCACAGTTGTAGGTGTAGATACATCATTGTTTTCACAGTATGTACTTGTTTGAAAATCAGTGGCTGTATATATATCAGTATATTGATCCCAGATCTCAACCTCTTAACCTTTCAGGCCCCATACTAAGATCCCCTAACATGAAACATATTAGAGAGGCAGAAAAACCCAATGTGCAGTGCGTTTACTGCACAAGCATAGCGTTTAAACATAGTGATATATCTTGGATCACCTTGAGTACTTTCTGTGGCACCTCAGGGAGCAGCTCCTTCAGCTGAGACAGGGAGGCCCCCATGAGCCACTGGAGGGATGGTGCTCTCCTCAGCATTAGCTGACTAACCAGAGGGTTGATGCATGGGAACTGCAATAGACACTTTTCATTCTGGAGGGAAAGAAAAAATGTTAACACATACAGTTTGATTGGGGGGTAAAAATCAAAGCAATCTACATTGTTGTTAAGTTGGAGGTATTTTTGTAATAATATGAATAAAGTTGTTAACCCCTTCTTAATCAAATACTAGACCAGTCTGTGTAGCCTCCTATAGATAAATCACCTCTGAGGGAATCACGGTCAGCCAGTCTCTGTCCAGGTAGTGGGGAGGGTCCCTGTCAGTGACCATCAGGCTGTGGAAGCAGATCTGACTGATCCATTTGGCTATTTCCATCACCTCAGACACAATCAGCACCTGACAAACACAGAATGATGTGTATTGAACTTTTACCAGAGTCTGACTTGTGGTGTTTTCTGCCTTTTATGGGGTAATTTCAATTTTCATATAGCTGAAAAAGCAGTTAAGGGAAGTAAAATAAATCTATGTGTTGTGTTCTACCTTGACATCTAGATCCTCTGACTTCATGCCGAACAGCACAAGAGACGAATACACCAACACCAAGTTTCTGAAAGCTTCACTGGAAAAACTGCCATTACACAGACAGAATCAACAATTGTGAGTCTTTGTTTACAAAATGTGTGTTTATACTGTTTTAATATATGTGTGTGTGTGTGTGTGTGTGTGTGTGTGTGTGTGTGTGTGTGTGTGTGTGTGTGTGTGTGTGTGTGTGTGTGTGTGTGTGTGTGTGTGTGTGTGTGGACACTAACCCTCCTCCCTGGCTCTCTGGGCAGTGCAGGATGAGCCAACAGCAATTGTACTGCAGAGAGAGAGCGGTCAGCCTCATCACTACTCTCTCACTGGCTCGCTCCTGACACAGTTCATCCTCCTCCTGACACACGCACACACACAGAGTTGGAAAAACTGAATTAAGTACTTATTAGTAATTCCATACAATACCCAAGAATCTCAGTAGAGGGAGATAAAAACACTGAAGAGATTCTGCATTAACATGGATTTGTGTGTTTCCTTTGAAGCCTGTTACCTGAATGATGACAGCGATGCTTTCATCCACTGTGATCACACCGTAGTGATGGGTGCCTCCGAGCATCTGCAAGGATGGACAGTGGCTCCTCTCTAACACAGTTATATTAAACCTGTAGTGTAACACACATACATAAGACACATACAGAAACTTTTCACCATATGGCATTTAAATGATAGCTTTTCATCATTGGCAGGTATGGTAGAAACACATTTTTAAAAGAAGATAGATAAAAGAGATTTATTCTTAACATGTCTTCTGAAGAAATATTCTATCTGGAAGTCTACAAAAGGGTCTGGCAGGACACTCATTAACACTCATGTGGTTAATTGAGCCCGCCCTGCCGCACTGTGACAGACAGATGGATAAGATTGAAAGACTGCTATTGTGCCTTAACCCTTCAGTAAAGTTTTCTAAAAGCATGACATCTGAAGACATTACATGGACATTTGTTCACTATTTTCCTGTATTTTAAAGACTTAAATGATTAGTCGAAAAATGAATGACAATACTGAAAACAGCTGTTAGTGTCATCTTTAATAACCACTGAGAACCAGGCAGATGCAGCCAAGAGGAAGCCAAGAAAAAAACTATAGAACCTTAAGGAGATATGCATGATGAATATTTAACTTTTTTAGTATCAAAATGAATGGCTTTTTGAAAACAAAAGAAAAATGTTTTCAGTGACAATCTAAACATTTACTGTACATCAGAGCTGGATGATACAGTGAAGATCTACAGATCAGACAACCCAATTTTTTCTATATCAGTATGTTTGGTCAAATCTTAAATGGTTTCCCCTACAAAAAGGTCCAATAACATGACAATCTTGCTTTCATTCGTACTGTTATTTAATGGGTTAACATATTTAGAGCAGGTTGTCCCAGTAGATGATATTAAATACAGATCATGATGCAAGCTTGTGATCACCCCATATAGCGATTGTCTAAATAAGGAAATGCAATTGAAATCCAGGTGTTTTCCTGGATTTCTTACTAGCTGGCTATGATTTAATCAGACTTAACTAGATGAGTGTGAAAATGTACCCTGACTCGAGTGTCTGGAGCAGCAGTGGACAGTTGAGAAGCCCCTCGGTAACAAGAACATAAGGCACATTGTCCTCCAGGTCCCATGAAGCATTTTCCTTCTCTTTTGGAAAAACAAAACATTTAGAAAAAAAAAAGATATTACACATCAATGTAAAATAGTGTGAATAGGATCTATTTGTTGGCAGCTGACCAGTGTTGGAGATGATCGTGTTAAGGGTGACGTGACCAATGCTCCTCTCTCTGCAGACTGTGGCCCATGGTGACTGGCCTGGATGGTCGTACTCCACCACCAAAGAGAAACAGTCCCAGGGGAAGTCTGGGCCCATATGCTGCTCACATACCACCACACACACACTGCCGCACACGCTGGTGGAACAGGATGGGAGTGTGAAAACAACAGATTGTTCGACATAGCACATAGCAGCGTGAAATATTTCCTTTAAAACAGCAAAACAATTATCGTTCACTTCAGTACGCCAAAGCACTCTTGCACTCCTACAGTGTGTGGATACTGCCTAATGAAAGCCCAGGGGCAAAAGAAATGTCTAATTTTTGCTTTTTATATATATGTATATATGTGTATTTATCTGTATGTATTTTTATTGAAGTCAAGCTATGAAATAACCACCAACAAATCTGGATGTGATTTATGAGGAATATGCTGCAATATATGTGTAAATTATGCGATGAAAACAAAAACACTGATTAACAACTGTACATTTTTACCTGCTGACCACACTGGCACCATTCAATTTTATCTTGTCCTCATCTGGACAAACTGCAGTTACAGCATCACCTGAGACAACAAAAACATAAAAATACTTAAACTGTATGACACATTCACGATCATGTGTTTGTATTATTGTTACAAGGAATATTACTTTTGCTTTGGCTTGTGATTGTTGAGTTTGTGTCCCAAAATTGCAAATGAAAAGTCACTTTTTAATTAACCTGTTTGTATTTAGCTTGTTTCCACAGTTGTGTTTAGTTAATTAGCAGTGCTGTTGATAGTGAAATGACTGAAAGAGATCAAGGGATGCTCACCAGTCACTTGGCTCAAGCTGTTTATGATTATGGATTTGCTGTCATCAGAATCAGCTGATATTATGACAAGAATCTACAGAAAGACAAATCAACCAGGATCATTGCACATTTCACAAATAAACACTGAAGTATGATCATTATCATTAATAATTTGTAGAACAGTGTATCGCACTTGCTATCATACTGTAGTTCAATATTTCCACATTTTAAAACCCAAAATGTGACAATTAATGCAAACCAAAAAACAACAGTTTTCTCTCAATGTGTACACTGACTTTCTCCATTGTGTTCTGTCCTTTTCTGCTGCGCAGCCATGCAGCCAGCAGCTGCTGCAGCTCCAGCAGTTTGAGGTTGGACTCCTGGTTCTTGTCCCTGAGGTACAGGATGATCTGCAGCCTCTTCACTAGCTGCCTTAGACTCTGCTCTGCACACGCCTCAGATGCCTTGGTCAGGTACTCTTTAGTAAATAAGGTAAGGCAGTAAATGTCACAATGTGGTATATGTCAGGGGTTGGAAAACGCATACTGATGGATCACAAAAACATTACTTCAAAGCTGAAGTTAAAAGGCCCTGAAAACCTATAGTCCCATTCATATGAGAATATAGGTTTTCAGGGTCTTATGGGGTCTTCATCTTCCAAAATCACGTTTCTGTCGAAACAGTTTTGGTTTATTTACATGAAATATTTTAAGAGAGTTTTAAGAGATTTGAATGGTAAGCTAGATGATAACTAAGGGTGTTTTTTTTGTATTAAGTAATAATAGTTAATTTAACAGTGAGCAGTAATAGTAAAGTTGACTGACCTAATGCAGTACCGAGGCCACACTTCAGAAGCAGCTCCTTGAATGTCACCAGCATATGAATCAGAGCCGCCTGGTTGAAAAGCCGTTCCTGATCTGCATACAGCACAACAGTGGGATTTTACACATTTCTAAACGTAGATTTACTGAATTAATATCTCAGTACTACAATATAAGAAATAAGGTTATACAAATGTGTTTCTGCATTATAAAATTACATTTTATACCTTTGACCAGCCCTGTGCTCTGTGCATGTGTCCTGCAGAGCGCCTTCTCCTGCTGCTTGAGGAGGAAGTGTGTTTGGTCTGGGGTCAGGCAGCTGAAGTCTCCCCACACTGGGAAGTTGAGCCCCAGCTGTCGGACAGAGCTCAAACAAGGCTGAGCGAAGGCCAGCAGCTCACAGTAGGCACGCTGCTGGCTGTCTGTAAGGCAGCACACACACAAAAAAACATTTTCTGAAACATCTTTTCTCCAACAAGAACAACTTAAGTCACATGTTTTTGGTATATTTGAACTGAAGGTGTTGTGAAAGTGTCGTACCAGTAGCTCTGACTTTTACTACTCTGCTGTCCTGTCTTTCCTGGGGAATTGACTGACTGAAAGGATGAATGATGAGTTGGCCCGTTGACTGAAAAGCTTCTTTCTGCTCTCCGGTAACATTTCCTGACACACTGCACACACTGTATGCTGGCCTCCTGTCTGATCTTTGCACCTGCTCTGGAGGCGGCTGCAGCTCAGGTGGTGTTTGTTGGTCCACCTGTGGCGCTGATACAAAGAGGATGAGATGACATTAGTGTGTGACATGAACAAGTCATTAGACCACGAGTACAGTGATGTAAGTTAGGTATCAAAGTGAAGTATCTTGAGTAATTACTGACATTATTGATTAATCTTCAGAACATTTTCTCAATTTATCTATTTATCTTTGGGCTTCAAATGTAAGTAAGCTCCTGAAACCCAAAACAGTCCAAAACCCAAACAGTTTTACTACTAGAACCAAAAACAAAATATTAACATGAAAAAACATTTTTACTTAAATATAACTATAAATTGATCACCAAAATACTTGCTTATTAATTTTAATTTTAGAAATCAACTAACAGTTTAATTGATTAATCATTTAATCTGTGTTATTAATCATTTTCATGATTCCTCTTCTTAATATGACCACTAGGCGGCACCAAAGTTAACAAACAATCAAATCCTACATAGTCAGTAGCATTCCTGTTTATTAACATTGTAGGCTCAAGCTGAAGATCAGTTTTACTAATACGTGACATGCATACAAAAAAAAAATCTGTTATCTGTTATATAAGCTGATGAAAATCATCTTCAGGCTTAATAAGGTGAACAGCTTTATTAAGTCATTTCACAGTCTACCTGGCTGAGTGCTGGCTGAGCTCTGAGGTGTTCCAGTAGCTGGAGCTCTCTGCTGAGATCTCAGTATAATGAAGGTGGACAGAGGGTCCAGGTCCTTCTCTGGTGGACGTCTCGTATTCAGCAGACTGCTGTGATTGTCTCTAATATTCAGTCTGGAGGACGCAGCCTGCTCAGGAGTGTGGGTACTCTGCTCTGTCTTACACTCGTCTCTACCTGTGTTGATGTCGTCCTTACAAACAGAAAATGTGGCTGCAACTTCTGTCCTGCTCTTGTCTGGATATTCCTCTTTAATGGTAGCAGCAGGTTTTACTTCCTTATTGTTTGTACTGACAGTGTGCATCAGGAAGGTATTCACATCAACAACTGTTTCTCTTTGAAGAAGACCGTCATCTTCAGTAGCTTCAGCATGCAAAGCAATAGCTTTAGATTTCTTCAGGTCAGGTGACTGAGTTTTGTTTGTAGGATTCATCAGGATGGATCTGACTGTGACTGAGACCAGAAAGTATGAGGAAAAAAACACAAATGTGTGTCATAAATCTGCTGCAACACTCTCTAAAACAGTAAGACTGGTTTGAAGCAAAACATACAAAGCAATAAGCTATTTGGGCTGTTGATTAATCAACTTATTGTTGAGGCTCTAAAATGTCAGAAAATAGTGCATCCAATTGCCTAAAGCCATACTGTTTATGTATTAAAGTTTGTTTTATCCGACCATCACCCCAAAACCCAAACATACTCAGTTTACTCTCCTATATAACGAAAAAATACTAAAATAAAAGCTGTAACCTGTATATTTCTGGCATGTCTGCTTATAAAATTACCTGACCAATTAACTGATTATTAAATTTGTCAATGAATTCTTTTGTCCATTAAATAAGTAATTCATTTATAAACTGTTTCAGCTCTCCTTACTATAAAAATAAATATAAGTGCAGATATTATTTATGTTTTCTTAAAATGTGTTGCCAATTAACTCTCTAATAAACCACATTTACTTCTGTCCTCTGACAAAACTGATTCAATGAAAAAAAGAAACACACTCACACTCAACATGTTCAGGTGACAGTTTTTTGAAGTCTTCTGTCTTTTCCTGCTTGGTGGAAGGAAACTCCGACTTCATGCTCTCTGTGAACTCGCGGTTGCTGCACAAAGACACCTGCAGGGCTCCTGTTCCCATGTGAGACTGAAGTTTGTCACCAACACTAACAAAGCTTTGTTTCTCCAACTTTATGACTTTCAAGGCTTCAGACATCGGCTGGAAGCTACCAGCTGTTTCACACATTTGAGGCTCTGCAAGAAAAAACTGCAGATTAGAAGTAGTAGAAGTATTTCTTAACAGTATTTCATGCAGTATTTGTCAACATTTACAAAAAAGTGCTTCAAATAATGTTTGCTGATGTTATAAATAATGCACCAGCAAATAGTGAAAAAATGCTGAAGCAAACTACCAAGGATTATCCTGAACAATGAGCTAATAAACATGCATGTGCGTATCTATGTCTAAAGTAATTAATAAAGAGGCAGTAGAAGCAGAGATCCAAAAACATGTTTTAGATCCTTCCTGCCTGGTAAATGCCCATGTCATTCAAACTCCTAACCATGGTTTGTGAAGCAGAAGAGTCTCCAAGACCAATTAGAGACTTTTGGAAAAGCTCCACCCAGAGCCACAGAAGACATGGTACATCTGTTTTCAATGGCAAGTAGTGACGGGTGGATGAAGCCTTACGAAGCTTTGGAGCTTTAAGCTCAGGAAGCACTATGACATCTGTTGGTTTGCAAAACTTACAGCAGCCCTTCAAGACTGAGACCAACAACACTACAAAAAAATACAAACTATTTTAATCTTATGTCTCTGTGTTGTTTATTAAACCTGTAATACTCTCGTGCAGAAGTGCTATAGTGCTGCAGTAAATTCAGACATTATTGTGCTACAGTAAAAATAAATGTGGTCCACAAAGTGCATACAAATATTTTTATTGACAAAAAATAACCACAGTGTAGATTAAAGCTTATCAAATACAGCCTGATGTGTATCATTTTGGGGGTCTTCCACAACAAAAAGGTTGAGAACCACTGGTCTATGGGACTGCCCAATTTTAACAGGGCTCTAGAGTGCGACCAAAATTTTTAAGAGTGCGACTTATAATTTTTCTAGGTCGCATTTCGCAAGCATATCATCTCTATGTGTTCTCCTGTGACCGAACTCACGCACTCATGGTACTAGGATCATATCGTGTTCTAAACCAATAAGAGACAGAGCTTGGACGGGTCTTTGCCTCTGATTGGCTGTGGTCCTGTTCACCGCACTAAATTGTGTGTGTTTAAAAATTGCCAAGCCCCGGTGGAACCAGAGGAGGAGACAACCGAGTCTGGGATAGAGCCCGGCTCCGAGACCCAAATTAAAAAGGTCAAAATATATTCCTTCAGACAGGACTGGCTGAAACAATTTCCCTGGCTGAGGTACAACAAAGGACGTAACGCAATGCACTGCGTGTACTGTCAGGACTGCGGTCCGAATATGGCCGGAAATAGTGCATTCGTGAGCGGGTCAACAACGTTTCGTATCCAACTTTTATTTGGAAATGTTTTATTTTGCTTGGTGTTTTAGTTTGAAATTTAGTTTCAATTTCTGCTCAGTGAAGCACTTTAAACACTTTATTTTTCTTTTTATATATACTTGTGCTTCAAATAAAGACAAACATTTCTCTACACCTTATTCTTGTTTAAAAATCATTCACATTATATCAAAGTTATGGAGAGCGATAAAAAGGTGACCTTATGGCGTTAAAGGTGACGCAATGAAAGATTTGGGTGCACCTACATTTTGTGCTGGTGCACCTAAAAAAAAAAAAAAAAAAGTTAGGCGCACCAGTGCAACCAATGCAAAAAGTTAGTCTGGAGCCCTGATATATATATTATTATATTAATGTCTTTCTGGTTAGAGGTTTTGGATATTCTCTACAGTAAACTAAGCAACACAGATAATAAAATATCTGTCTTTTGTTTATTACAAACAAAACATACTTTAGCCAATTTAGAGAAATCCGATCTGATTTGACTAGGATTGCTCTTAAAAAACATTGATACTCAACCTTTGCGAAGATAAGGAGATCTTTTATGTTTTTAAAGGGAGAGAAATTGCACCTTATTTGTTTGTTCATTCAAGTATTTATTTGTTTAAAACTGTGTGCTTTACAAGAGGAGCATTGGAGTTTTGGTATTGTACACCCCTCACTCATGATGAATAGGTGGAATGCGCCTTTAATTGCAGAACTGTAAAACTAAACCCTGTAATTACCTGCTAACAGAAAGCCCACCACAAAGGTTGGATGCTTCTCTGCCTTCCAAAGGGCCACCTCCATCTCCTTCTGAGCTCTTGCTGACACCAAAGACCTACATGACAATCATTAATGCTACAGGAGCTTACTCACATGGCAGAACAGTAACATTAAAACAGAGAATCTGACATTTAAATTTGGTGTGGTGACTGATTTTGTTTGATAAAAAATAGTAATACAACGCCTTTCACTTATTTAACTCACAAAGCAATTTCAGTGGGTTCTTTTATTAACTTAATATTAACAACTTATGTTCAGTAACTGTGAAAATAAACTGTACCTCATCAGGTTAACAGCTGTATTAACAGTTCGGTCTGGTATCACCACTCACCGTCTGCTGAGCAGTGACAACTCTTCCTTCTGGAGTTTACACGTGGACAGACAGATTTGGGTTTCACTGGTTTTGGGATTCGACATCAACGTCACATCCAGTTCCATTTCGGTCGGAAGCTTCACACGTCCTTAGAGGGAATTGTGGGTACAAAGTGGTAAATTTAGGTAAATCAGTGACTATAGAAAAGATTTTTGTCCAAACATGATCAACTAACAAGTCACTCTTTGTGTTTGCTCTGTAACTGTTACCTGCCAGCTCTGACTCTATCAGGCCTCCATTTGTCTTGCTGGTGTCCTCTAGTGCTTCATACTGGAAAATGTCCACTGACACTGGTACATCTGAAAAGGAAGCTGAGAGAAATTGGACTACTGTGCTACTGTGCATCTTTATTTGATCTAAAAATCTTATCTTGTCTTCACCATTATGAAGCAAATCCAGGACTGGAGGTTGCTCATCCAGCTGTTCAGGAGCAACATTTACACAACCACAAATGCTTGGAAAATCAGTCCGGTTATCTTGGCTCAAATTCATTGTGTCCACTAAAGCCGGCAACAGCAATGACTGCAGAGAAGAAAATGATCAATGTTAAAGTAATTTCATACATAAGCACATCATTCGGCATTTAACATTTTTAGTTACCTCTTCCTTCATCAGTGACTCTTTACCAAACTCCTCATGAATGTTTGCACACATATGAATGTCACTGGCTTCCACATCAGGAGGTTTTTTGTAAGAGGCACAGTGCCTGAAACAGGTTTTTACATAACACAGATCAGGAAATGAACAGGCCAGTAAAGTAACTTACTTGTCAATCATTTCTAGGACGCAACAATCACTTTGAATCACATAATTATGAAATGCACTTCAGGAGGAACATACACACCTGAACATGGCGTCCACAGCGGTATCTCCTGTTGAGCTCAGCAGAGGGTCGGCCACAGGAAGGGTCTTCAGCCTGGACAGTTTGGCTTTCAGCGTGGGTAAATGTCTCTTAAATTGTGGCAGGTAGTCAACAACCACAAGCTCTTCAGGCAGGAGGAGATCTTTGACAGAAGGAATCATTATTTGTAAGTGGTTCTCTAAGTGTCACAGTCAAAAACAGGGAATGCTGACTGACACAGATACGGCTGATGGGAAGTTTGAGTTACCTTTGTTCTTATTTCCAGGTTTCATCTGGTCAGTTGTCAACTTGAAAAAGGATTCCTGACATGGCTCATTGATCTGTGACTCTTTTAAAAGGCAAAAATACTCATCCTGGTCTAGATCCTTCAGTGAGTCAGGATTAGAGCTTGGTATCACCTCTACATCCCCTTTCACCTCACTCAGAGTCATATTAAATCTGGAATATAAAAGATTTATTTCTGAAAAACATAACACAAATAAATACTGAAATTATGACCCAAACAATAAAACATAACAAGTGTAAAATGACCTTTCTGGTGAATTAACCGGTTTCTTTTTTTCTCGCAGATCATCGAGCACAGAACCACTGACAAATAGTTTGCAGGTGGAGATCACCTTTCCTATAACGAGTGCAAAAGAAGTCAATATAGAAACAAACCCCTTGTGTTGGACCCTCTGTTGTGGCCTCTATATCTAAATAAAGACACTATTTTAATTGCATTGTGGCTGTAACAAACATGCAGTTCAACTACAGATTTACCTACGCCTTCAAGTTATCAAGGTAAAAATGTATAAAAGTAACACTGCAAAAACATAAAAAATGCATGTATTTACCAGTATGTACCACCTTTTCTCCTCTGTTTCAGTTATACAGTTTGTTTAAATGGACCAGAAGAAATTTAGTTAAGTGTGAAAAAACCATTCCAGCCTTAGCTGTTTAGTGATAGTTAGCTATCTGTTTATTCTGATACTGGAATGTCAGATGAGGACAAAAAGATTCACTAATATATCAATAAGATGTAGTTACAATACACTCAAACAGCTATGTCCTATGTGAAACTGGTGTTGGCAGGAGCAACATGCAAGAAGAAGAGCAGACATGTCACATGAAACTTTAACATAGACTGCCTTGCAAGGCAATATGAGTCAAAGGCTGATGGCTAATTTTGTAGAAAAAATGAAAAGAAACTCTAGCCAAACTTTGGAGAAACTACAACCTGATGGGAAGATGTTAAGAAACTTTGGGAAACTTTTTTGGAAGCAGTGCTTCCTCGCAGGTTATGTACTGCACTAAACTATAGTCCCATTAATTAAACACTTTATGTTATCAGTAATAAATGTTATGCTTAGGGCTATGGTTGGGTTTGGGTTTGCCAACATTAGGGATAATGTTAATGCTTTTATATGTACAAATCTGAGCAGGAAGACTCATCAGTAGAGTTGAAACGATGACTTTTACTTACTTAGCAGATAAAGAAGGTGAAGGAGTTGTGTTACCTAACTGTAATATTCCCTTTAACATTCAGACAAAACAAACTTAAGTCATATTATTGGCTTAAAACCTTAATCCATAGTGTATATATTTAAAGGGGAGTTTAAAGTAAATTTACTTTTCTCCAAAATGATGTTAGTACACAATAGACTATATATTGTGTTAAATTAAATCTAAAAAGTCATCATGACACATAAAACATGCCAAAACCAGGGCCCATGTCACCCAACATAGTGGTTATATGAGCTCAGTTGTATACCTCTGATCCACGGTGCCCTGTAGGTGACCTCAGGCAGCTTGCCATTGTGGGGGTACAGGTCACTGGTACCAGTGAAGTACGGTGTTGGCAGTGCCAGCAAGCTCATCCTTACTTTCAGACTGGTGGTGGTCTGCAATAAAGACAAAAAGAGACATGAAAGAGGGAGGCAGGACAGCAAAGCATTAAAGTGTAATGATGATATTCAGAGGTAAAATTAACAAGCCACAAACTCACCTCAAAGACATAGTCAAGAGCTTTATATCTGTTGGCAGAGAAAATCTGAGCAGGAAAACTGCTGTCGTTTTCAGACCTGTAAACATTGTAAAAAGAGTAATACAAACATAAATATGCATATTTTTAGGAAAACAATTTGATGATTACTGTGGTCTGTTTTAACACGCTAAAACAGCCTAATTGTGTGTCTAATGTCACCCTAAACAGGTTACTGTAACTACAAACCTAAAATAAGTGTGTCTATCATAATAAAGTAGGAAAAAGTACACAGATCTTTTAATGAAGTAACGTTAAAAGTAGCAATACCACAGTCTACAAAGGTATTACAGTCAAAATAGTACCAAAAGTAAAAGTATTAATTATATAGAAAGGCCCAAAATTATAATATATTACTGGATTGTAATTATTGATCGCTTGTGAATGTCTCCCCAGGATCAATAAAGTCTCATCTTAACTGATAATAATAAATAATAGTTTATTATATTGTGTATTATTACTCTGAATTTGCAAAGTAACTGGTTACTAAAGGTATTAAATTAATATAACGTTAGTAGTCAAGAGTACATAATTCCCCAGAAGCAGAAAATAGAAATATCCACTCAAAACAGAGTTTAAATACAGTACTCGAGTAAATGTACTTTGTAATTTTCCCCCACTGTCTATTACAAAATACATCTTACATGGTGATGTTAGCTAGCTGGGTTAGCTATCTCTAACAAGTAAACTAACGTATGCAAAGTTACAACTTTGTTTAGCTAGCAAAAAATATGTTCTACAGCCTTAAAAGTCATTAAATATCCTGCTACAACAAAGTTTCAACGCCACAAATAAACGAATAAAACCCGAAAAATCAGACTGTGTTGGTTAGCATCAAACTTACATAATGAGTACGTTTTATTTCGGTGTTTTTGACAGGTGAGATATCGATCAGGAGCAGAGATCGAGACAAAGATCGTTTATTGAAGATGATTCAGATGTTCGCCTCACGCATGCGCTTTGGGACGTTTTATTTTCTCGGGCAGCATCTCAGCTTGCTACTAAAAACCTGATGCCATAATTGATTTAAAGTGTATGTATACTGCAGGCTGTGTATATCAAGTAAAGACCATCATTCAGCAAAGGTTTAGTGACATACAGTGGGATTTAACTACTGTAACACATTTGAGGTATTTGTACTGTAAATGGAGTATTTCCATTTTATTCTACCTGTACTACTACATTATACTACTGTACAGCATTTTGTCAGCCAATATTGTACTTTTTAATCCATTAGCCTACATTTATTTGACAGCATTAGTTACTTTTTAATATGTCTGAAAATACACATTAACCTGAATCGGAATCCAACATATTGTATTATTAATAAAGGTGAATTCCACATGCATGTTTATAATTAAAACATGAATATAATTATTATTTAATTCTTGTATGCACAACAACAGGGTAATGTAACAATGTTTATATGTTGCTTTAGGCCCAGTTTAATATGCATCACAAGTTTATAGAATATATGTAGAAGGGGGTCTCTGCCCTGTCTCAATTAAGGGGTCCTTGGCCTGAAAAACGTTCAAGACCTCTGCTTTGAAAACACATTTATTGCTTCTTAGTGGATTTTTTTCCTGCAGGGGCATTGTGTCCTTTTCACCACAGGGAGGCGCTATTCATCAAAAGACAGTACAGAGTTGATATAGAGGATGTTGGTGGATCTGTGCAGACAACATGTGCAGGTCCCTGTCCAGGTTACCAAATCCTTAACGTGGGAAAATGTGATGAAATCAGACAGTAATGGGAGGTTCATGGGAGGTAATGTACATCAGATTTGACAGAAACTGTTGTTCAAGTGGTTTTGCTGTCTGAAAAACTGTGTGGTGACAGTTACGGTGACTCACAGTTCTTCTTTTTGAGTTTCACAAAACAACCGTTGTCCATGCTTGTAATCTTGTGTGTGACGTCATGGGACACTCTTCAGTGACGGTCAGTAACTGACTCTTAACGGCCTGTGAGAAACGTCTATATTTGTATTTTACAAGTTTGTCATCAAGGTGACAAAAAGAATATAATTCACTGTCAATGCTGGTATGTCGACGAGGCAGCAGTTTAAGACTTAGAAACAATCCGTGACATACTTCTTTACTCTATTCTAAACTTTTCCCTCTGGAGCGACAAGCTATGTAATATTCACACTGACATGAAACTGCACTTAATTAACACTAACATAAGCTGAATTTTCTCTCTTTATCCAAGTAAGTAAGTTTTTTCTACAGCACCTTCCAAAAGAGTTGCGAGATTTTCAGGGACAGAAATACAAAAAAGAAAAGGAAAATCAAACACTTTTAGTGTAAGTTGCACAGTCAGCGTTTTAAAAGCTTTTTATTATATAACAAAGAGTAAAAGCTGATCTAATACTCAAAGCGAGTTGGTTCCAGTGTTTGAGCTAAAACAGTAAAAGCATGATCCTGCTTTATCTTTAGTCTGGACCATGCGAAGTAAGCAGTTAAAATATCAGAAAATATATGCCAAACCATGGAGGTTCAAGGCTCAATTTATTCATTCATAACATGGAAAAACCCCACCCTGAAAAACATCAAAACAGCTGCATAAAAACAAACTTGGATTACTATTACACTGGACCTGTATCTGGAAATATTCATACAGTATCCAGACCTAAATGTCATCATATCATATCATATCATATCATATCATATGAAAATAAAAATAAATCTTCGGCATCCTGTCTGTACGTAACGTATCACAACCTTGGATAGTGCTGTATTTTTGTGCATTTATTCCAGTGTTTAAAGTGATTAAAATGATTGTTTACATCCCCCTTATGAGAGGTTTTAAAGAGTAATCACCTGAATCTGAAGTTATTCAGACGGGACTGGGGAGAGTTTCTGTTTCCAGTGTTTATCAGAAGTCTTGCTGCTGCATTTGGCACCAAATGTAGACGTTGAGGCAAGTAAATAAATAATTCCAGCAGCCAAGACAAGAGAAAATAAAGGTGTACATGAATTGTTCAACTATGTTTTTTGGGAGTTGTTTGAGTTTAGCAATATGTCTGCCAGACTGAACACGGCTCTTAATGTACTGATTGTAGTTGAGGTATGGATAAAAAAACAACTAAGTTTTAAAGGAGAGGTTTTAATTTTTTTTTTTATCTCAGGAGCCCACAAGAACACTGAAACATGTTATTCTGGCTGTAACTATTCCTCCTCTCTTTGATGGCTATTAAAAGATCCCTTCAAAATGTACTTTCAGTGGAAATGGGACAGTCTGTGTGTGTATCTGAAGCTAATATGAGATTTCAACAGGAGTTTGTCAAATCAAATCTAAAGATACATTCTTTATAGTGTGAAACTCCTGCTTACTGTCCCTCCATCTGGGGATTTATTAAAATATAAAAGAGGCATATGATTGGAGCATATACACAAGAATTGTCCTGCTCAGACTGCTGAGGCTTCAGATTGAATTCATATAAACTTTTAAATACTTTGACTAGATTTTGTCACCCATCACTTCACTGAAATTATCTTTTTAATGACCAGTATGAACAGGACAAATGGTTACAGCAAGCACAACCTGCTTTAATGTTCATATTGGCACCAGACTATTGTTTTTAAGACAAACACAACAATACAATCTGCAACAGTTGTCATTTCAGCCAGCAAAATCAACTGTCACAGGCTAAAAATACCTATTTTCTTCCTCTCTCTGATATCATGGACCATTGTTTAAAGAAATTACCTGGTATATCTACCACTGTTATTATTGTACACTGCACAAGTGTGTAGCAACAGTTACTAAGTGAGGGATCAGTTTAACCGAACCGTCTTTTAGCTCAAGCAGAAGTAAACACAGAAAGTAGTGACCTTGAAAATACTGTAGTTGTTGCAGTCAACTGGAATTGAACTGATGGAAAGTAATGAAGTACATTCATTCAAGTACTGTACTGAAGCACAACACCTAGGTACTAGTACATGTTTTATTTTCTGCAATTTTATACTTCTACTTTTTACTTGGAGATTTTACTTTCTATGGTTTTTAAAAATATGACACATTTTTCAGTGCACAAAATTTACTAATTTCTTCCTTAATGTCTTATTTTGTTTTTTTGCTGTAAAAAAAACCAACATTCTTTTAATGCCAATGAACTTGTTCAATTATTTTTCTAAAATCTGATTCAAGTGTAACAAACAGCTTTATTCTTACTTGTTTCAAAATTGTGAACATATAATTTCATAGTGATCAAAGATGGTGGACAATACAGTTAAACATATGAACGGTACCAATTAAGCTACCAGAACTGCAGTTTTATCAGTATTCAGAAAATTAGAGAGCATCCAGCAGTGCAGGGAGTCAGATTATATAGAAATGCTTTATACACACAGTACTGTGTAATTCATTCGACCTCACAATACAAACGCACATCTGTGGAACTTCCCATACTGATTAAATGCTTATGGTATGAAACTGAATGTGGGTCAAATCCCCAAATGACAGCACTGTACTCTGAATTCTTTAAATGGATGATCAAATTTCATGAGACATGGTTTAAAAAAGGAGTTTCATCATAAAAATCACCAGAATCCTTGATGCTGTCACCTAACAATCTTCTGCCAAAATCTCAAGTTGAAAACATTAACCTTTGACACCATTTAAAACTTTTGTTTCTTATGTCTGTGGGCTCATTGTGTCCATGTTGTAATGACATCTGACTTTGTCCTTTATCACAGAATGACCCAGAATGACCCAGAATGACAGCACAATAGCTTATTCAAAGTACTGTAGCATTTTGTTCTGGCCCTTTTAGGTCATTTTATTTAACCTCTTTACACTTGTGAACATCTGAAATGCATTTCACCATTTATGCTCCAACATTACTTGAATTCCTCTAAGCTGTATGTGCATGTGCACATAAACTCAGAGAGAGAGAGAGAGAGAGCGAGAGAGAAAGAGACAGTGAAACACAACACTCACATACACAAAAAAGCCTGTTATCTGAGACTACTCTATGTAGGTTTTGTAGTTTCTGCCCTCTTGGTGCAGAATCATATGTTTCTTTGTTTCACTCTCCTATTATGTTCCACAAGTATCAGTCAAAGTTTCTGTTTGAGCATAAATCTCTCCAAAATGACAGGGACACGTATTTTTAAACACTGTTGTTTATTGAGACCGTACATCTGCTTTGGTAGATTTGTTTATATCATAAAACTACAGGACATTACAATACTCCCATTACTATTTAACAGTGAAACTATCATGCACATACAATATATACTGTTGCAGAATCAAGACATTTTCTAGAAAGCATTTGCATAAAGTTAAGACTTCAATTCATTACATTTTCGGAAATCTCACAAAAATGTCTTCAATCAATATTCAAGGAAATCAGTTGACATTTTGGGAGGTGCTGGTAGGCAGAGTTTGTTACTGTTAGACAAAGTCAGACTAACAGTTTACCCTTGTTTCTGGTCTTTATGCTAAGCTAAGCTAATCAACTATTAGCTGTACATTCATATTTCCCATAAAGACAAGAGCGTGGTATCAATCTTATCATCTAACTCTTGGCAAGAAAGAAAATAACTGCATTTACCTAAAAATTACTTTTCCTTTAAATTGAATGGAGGTTTAGAAGTGTGAAAGCTCGTTCCTGATCTTGAAAACAGTCATTTGACAAAAAAATCTATAGCTATTAGCTATTTACATTTTGATGACAAACTCCATCTTCTGGGGAATGTGGTTAAAAGCCCTGAAAAAAGCTAATAAGTGAACATTGAGTTATGATTTTTTGTTGGGTCAAATGAGGTTGTTATTAATTCCACAGTGTGATATGTTTCGTTAAGTTGCAGCACAATCTCCATGTATTTCTTTGGAGTATTTTTAAACAGAATATTCATTTCAGAGGATCCTTATATCACCATTATAAGTCTCTGTTTCCATTTTAGTGATCATATGTACAGAAATATATCATGTTGCTGTAAAGAATTTAGTGTGTTTTTTGGCAAGCTTAAGGCATTAGAAAATGATACAAACTAAAGAAGACAAAACAAGAAGGTGAGATTTGATCCACAGCCAGCGGGCCCTTTGGGTTTTAGACACATTACTGCTCCGTCTCTACACATATTTTGGCTTATTTTTTGCGCTCCTCTATCTGCTCCACCTCACTGGACTCATCTACCACCTTGCCATTGATCATGGTCTGGGTCACGACTTTAACAATCTTCCTGGTCCTGACTTCAGGGTCTTCTGTAAAACAGAGTTAATCCAGAGTTAGGTACAACAAATACTGACTGACATTGATCTTTCTTGTCTGCTGCTCTGATAAGTAACATTGATGTTCAACTAATAAAAAAGCAATGACGTATTGAGGTTATGAAGCTGCACCGAAATGTAATATTTTAACAACATTGGCCATCAATACCCTCATATGGAACCTAATATCAGTAAACTGCACGCAGCATGCTTTTGTGTTCCAATTTTATTCCAAAAAATACAAAAGGGATAAAAAAGAGAAGAGATTGAATGTCCAACTTTCACTGGGTCATTTGTTTGGTGCTGTTTTTGTGGACTTATCAGATCCTGTGTGGGTATTGAGACGCCACACCCAAGACCAGAATTCATGTGGGTAAAGGGATAAGTCTACAAAATTTAAGAAAGGATAAGATGCTCCTGTATTTGCTCGTGCAGCATGTGGTCAGAAAAATCCAAGAGCAGCTTTACGAGACCAATATTAGCAGACATAGAAGACAATAGCAGGCCAGTAGATGTACAAAAATAGCACTTGTTGCAGGAGTATATACAGGAGCATCCGATCCTTTCCTTCATTCTGCAAACTTTCTCTTTTGTCTACATGAAAATTTGGCCTCCGATGTTGTCACTCAATACCCACACAGCATCTGATAAAAGTGAAGTTGACAAAAACAGCACCAAACAAACGAAGATGACTCAGTAAAAGTTGTTGACTCACTGATATTCAATCTCTTCTCTTTTCCATCCCTTTTGTATTTTCTGAACAAGTCAATGCTGACCAACTAACAAGTGGTTCAACAAGTGTTCTGCAAAAATTACCACGGGACCATGTGAAAAAAGAACTTATATGCATAAGCACTTATATACAAAAGACTCCTTGAGGAAAATAGATCCCTAATCCTTAATGGCATTCAGTAAATAAAATAATCTGAACTTACTTTTAGGAGGTGGAGGTGTTTCTTTAACCCTGTAGGACAAAACAACATAACAACTTAATCCAAGAGAGCAAAGTACCAAGCAGAGACCATGTTCACTCAGTATCTGAAGCAAGTTGGACACTTTAAAGAAATAACTTTGGGAAATACTCTTATTCTCTTTTTGCTGAGAGTTAGATGATAAAATTGTATAATAAATATAAAGTTACAGCAAGATTTAATGTCAAACAAGATATAATTAATTACTGAGCTTTAGAGGAGCTGGGAGTAGCTAGCTTTTTTCCTTTGTTTCCAGTCTTAATGATAAGGTAAGCTAGCTCTCTGCAAAAAAGTGAATATTCCAAAATGTCAAACTAATACTTTAATTTAACTACATGTACAAGTCCTGTGTAGAAAAATGCAATACAAACCATAGGTTCTACTAACTAAAGTTTTCTTCTGGGTATTTTGGAAATACTCAAAAAACCCCAAACAAATTTAAACAGAAATTCTTGCTTGAAAAGATGTTGTTATATAACTGTATGTACCTTTGTGTAATGATTCCCAGCCCTAACTCACATTTCCTCTCCTTCCAGCAGCCTCCGATAGGTGGCGATTTCCATCTCCAGGTTCTGTTTGATGCGCAGCAGCTGTTCGTAGTCGGTCTTGTTGCGTTGCATGTCCAAACGCAGCTGAGACAGCTCATCCTCCAGCTGGGTCAGTGTGGCCTGAAGACGGTCCATCTCCACAGAGTACTTATGCCCCGTTTCTCCCAGGTTTCCTTCCAACACAGCTACCTGTTAACAGAACACACAGGTAATGATCAGTGACAGCAGATAAAAAGTTGTCCTACATTACAAAATAATGTATAATGAAGAAGACATATTTAAAATTTGCATTTTAGCCCTTCATATGTATTAAAGTGCATCCTACTGTTTCAATAAATCACATCCATGACTTTCCTTTAAGTTAATTACAGAACAATCCTAATTAATTTTACAATCATATTTTAATGTACTGAAAAAATTGATTTTGTTTGGCCACTTGGGAGCAGCGAGACAAGCTGTAAACCCTGACATTAAATATATATAAAGTTATTATGGCAAATCTGTGAACAAATAGTTTCCTATTAACACGTCCAGAAGGTACAAAATAACATTAGCATTCATTTAGAGTTGTGTTTCTGGCGACCTGATGAACTTCAGTCCAATATTAACTTTACTTTTAGCTCTGTTTTTGGTCTCCAGCAACTCCTGAAATGGCTTGGTGCTTTCACTGGTAAATACTACACTACATTTACTAGCTAGTCGCTAACTTTGTATGCTTTTTGGTGCTTGTCAGGTAGCGTACAGTAGGTTTATCATGAAACGATGCTGATGACAACACCGAACCAAAACAGTAAGGTAAACCAAAACAGCAAGCTGAAAGACACATAACTGATTCACATAGCTGAGGGGAACCGCAGAGTTTGGTGATAATTTTCTGTGGGTTTGACACTCTGAGCTAATCCTCTGACATTACACGTAATAATTTGTTACATTGTTATTATAAGAATATTCTAAAGTGCAGCTTTAAATGCTAGAGAACACACCCTTAAATAGTAAACAATAAAGGAAAACACTGATGTTGGTGAAGGGTTAAAGCTTTTGGCTTTAAGGTACCCTGCTTTTGGCTTTAAGGTACCCTGCCCAATATTGCTATGTCTGTACTATGTGTTTACCCGTTGAGCTCGTCCATTCACAACCACTCACAAATCAACCATAGATACTAGAGACTGTCAGCACGATAATATCTCTACATTCAATACTGTGTGCTCACCTTTAGGTAAACATCCAAGAGCTATATTTGCCACCACTCTACACCCTTATATACAGTGTTTGATCTGTGTCTGTGTCTATGTAGTGGAAACACAGACAAAACATTTGCTTGTTTGACTCCATGTCTTGTCACCCTGATTGATTATTGGAGCAGAATGAAATTACTGTGTACTTTGTACCACTAGTAGCTCTTTGTTGACAAGGGGAAAGCAGCTGTTATCTATAGATAGGTCTGACATGTGTGTGTAATGTACAGAAGAGAAGAGGTGAGGGCGGGGTTGAGCTCCAAAGAAGTAGAGGAATGGTAGTCAGCATGAAACTTAATTAATCTCTGCAAGTCAGAGCAACTATAGACCAGTGTCTCTGGAGTAAGTAGAGGTTATAGAGTCTGGATATGTAGAACATATTATTATTCATGTAGAAATGGGTGATTCCTTACAGAGGTATAGACGTAAAATGCATCATGTGTTTATGCAGTACTGTACCTGCTTCCGAAGACTGTCGAGTTCGACCTCCAGAGCCTGCAGGAAACGTCGTCTCTCACTGAGCTCATTTTGGGCACAACGAAGAGCCTCGTTGCTTTCTTTAACCTCCGATTGCACAGCTTCTAACTATAGACACACATATTAAAATAGTATAATAATATACAGTAAAATTAAAAGCTTAAAAGAATAAATAGCAGAAAGATAAGATTCACGCTGTGACTGACCTTCTTGAGGTACCAGACCTCAGCCTCCTCCTTGTTCTTGCGAGTGATGCTCTCATACTGGACCCTCAACTCAGCCATGATGGCCCCCAGATCAGGACCCTGAGCTGCATCCACCTCCACATTCACCTGCTCGTTGACCAGACGTGACTTCAGAGAGTTCATCTCCTGCAGTGATTTAAAGAGGGAAAGACCAAGCAGTTTTTTAGTTTTACACAACAAGTATTTTTAAAACCTGGTTATCACAGAGCTGTTTGGATGGGAAGCTAAAACTCACAGTGTCTGTTAACATCTGATTTGACATCTACTATCCAGTGGTGGAAGAGCTATTCAGATCCTTTACTTAAGTAAAAGTAGTAATACCACACTATAAAAATACTTTTAGAAAAGTAAAAGGCCCGCATTCAAAATCCTTGTTTTTGAGTAAAATGTAAAACAGGACAACAAATGGACAAAAATATAAGAATACAATGTTAACCAAATTCCAGTGTTTCTTTACTCACTGTGCTTTTTCTGTTGGATAATTAAATGGCCTAACTGGTGTGTAGCGCAGACCAGGGTTAAATTAGGTCAAAACTGTGTCACACTAATCTAAATGTAACTCATCCGACAATTTTAATATATGACAAAAATGTACTCTTAGAGTTTTCTGATTTTTTGCAATTATTTACAATCATCTACCATATTTCAGCGTACTTTAGTTGTTCCTGATCACCTCAGCAATATGCAAGATAATATTCAAATAAAAAAACTGTTTTCAGTCAGGTCTTCGGGGAGAAGAGCAGCACCTGCAAGGCTCAGCCCACATCCTGGACACCACACCTTGCTGTCTAAACACACACAATCCTTGTGGCTGGATGGGCTCAGATACTCCTGTCATAGGTGTGGTCTTGATATCTTGAAGCACCGTGGCTACAAAGAAAAAGGGTGCGTCCAAACGCTTAACATGATCATGTTTCAGATATTGCATACTTTTAAACCTTGACTGGGAGAGCAAAAACGTTTTTTTACAGTGTTGGTTCATGTCAACGTGTCTCGGAAAAGTGGAATGTATTAGAACTCTGTGGTTTTTGGATCATATTAATCATATCAAGATGCAGGAAACTGGCTTTCATGCAGCTCCGAGAACCTGCTGTGCTTCAAACACATCCTACATTTAAACAAGAGTATACTTGACAACTTGTAAAGTGATTATCTTGATATGTAAACACTCATTGATCATGTCCGACGTGACCTTCACCTCGGCAGTGATCTCACCTCGTCGTGATTCTTCTTGAGGAAGTAGAGCTCCTCCTTCAGGCTGTCCAGGTCTCCTCGCAGAGTTGCGATAATCTGGTCATGGTCAGACTTTGCCCTCCTCAGAGCCTGACAGTCTCTCTCTACTGACTGGCACAAGGTGGCCTCGGCCTCCCATCTGCAGAGAAAACCCAGTGGAGGATTAGAATAAGAGGAAAGGAGGCCATCAGCAGACATGTGCAACACAGTCGCAGTTTTTGCCTCCCATGTAGGCTATTATCATTACATTTAGGTTACAGTTCAGCATCTGGTTTTTGAAAGATAAATTCCTGCAGATCTTACAAAAACACTTAAAAAGTTGTGTGTACATGGGGATCAAAAGGTTTTCCATCTGCTGCATTTATCTTAATCCAACAAAGATGGTTGCCAGAAGTAAAATCATCTGCTCAATCGGATGTATAAAAAAAATTCAGGGTAGATTAATGTTGTGTCTGGAGATTCATTCTTGACCCTGGTATGTGTAGTTTGGCAAAATGATCTTCACTCAAGGTTCTTACTAGTTAGTACTTCCAACCACATCTAATAGCATTCATTGGTAAAATAATTTTGCCTTGAATCAGCTGATGAAGATGATGTTCTTCTTGATGATGTTTGAGATGTTCAGAAGAAACCTGACCATTTTAATGTTAATTAATGTTATTTTCCATTATTTTATATTTTGATGCAGAAAAATACTGCTTTACTATAATAAAGTATAGTAATACTACAAAACAAACAAGGATACATGTCACTTCTTGCTGCCATCTCTTCTTATGTTCCACTATTGATGTAAACACATGAGAGGCACATATTGGAGGTAGTGCAACACATGCAAACAAGCACAGGATGCATGAAATCACTTATGAGATCCCAGAATGGATGCACACACATGTGAAAAATACCGTGAGATATGCATGAAAAGTACACATGCACTTTGCTGCCAATACCATACATCACTGCCAATTGATGTATTACTCCTTCACATGAGGCCACAGAACATACCATCAACACGTTGTGAAAAACACCAGCAGTGGGTGTATCCTGCCTCCACCATCTTACCTTCAGCTTCACCTCTGCCAAGAGCAGACTGCACAATCTATCACATCCTTCACTCACTGATGGCACAGTTGTTCCTCTCCTGTGGGTGCCTGAGTGCCGTGGGAATGGGGCTCTTATTTCGCAGCCTGACATAAAGGTCATTTATTCACATCCCTTTGCAGTCTGGCACTCCCATGTGAACACTCACAGGCACGTAAAAGAAAGGAACCTCTGTGTGACACTCACTTGACCCTGAAGTCATCGGCCGCCAGCTTGGCATTATCAATCTCCAGCATGATTCGGGCGTTCTCCAGTGTCTTCTTTCTCACCTGAGCAGGGAACACGGTGGAAATTTAATTAAGATATGGTATGGAAGAGTAGAAATATATGCACTTTATAATGTTAGCGTTTTGGTTTATTTAATCATACATGCCCTTACAAAAGGACGTTGCCCTGAGCATCCAAATCCATCTGCCTGCAGATACAGGTCCTGGATCTGTTAAAAAGGTTGCTGCAGGAGATTTGTGCTCCTCTTTCATAACTGCCTAAGGACCTTAATACCAAGATGGACTACTTAATCTACTAAAGTTTTTCTTTATTTCTTGTGTCACCATTCCCAGATCATTTTGCTGCCTTCAGAGTTGCGAAGCATCGGCTTTGAAGGTTAATGATTCGATCAAACTAATGAGAAAGTTCATTTCTGCTTCATGAAACAATCCTAAACTCATTTCTAGGTTTGAAAAATCTGTGCTTCTCTGTAGTATATACACATCCAGACATGATATCACGTGCACAGGCAAAAATGTGACATTGCCAAGAGAAATAGGCGCCCACACACTAAATAGATATTCCCAAAAAGATGATTTATTAAAGCAGCAACAAAAACTTGAATTGCTTGATTGTTGATTGTGGTGGCCCCTGTGGAAAAAGGCGGTAGTGTTTCCACTGCCTCGAGTCATTGATTTCAAGAGGAATCCGACCAAATAATTATATAGAAATAGCAAATATTCTTGCTGATGGTCTCATGTGTTTATGTAAGTCATAAAGAGGCATCAATATTAAATTGAGACTATAGAATTGTCTATAACCAGTTAAAAACTCCTTGAAGTACCTTTAAGCAACATTAAGATGTTTCAGCGTTAGATCTTAAGCAGGTAATATTCAACAAGTGAACAGCAAGGTTTACCTTATAGGCTTTACCTGAATTACATCACTACGTGACTCAGAGATATTAGTCACTGGGGTGTAATCAAATGCTCCCTGAGAGAAAGTCTTTGTGAAATTGAATTAGTAAATCTGATCTACTGGTCACTGACCTCCTGCCCTATGGCATGTGCCTGGGCCATCATCCCCTCGATGTCATGCCCCTTTGGAGCCCTGTCCAGCATGAGCTGCTTGATCTTCACCTCCAGCTCAGCGTTGGACCTCTCCAGAGAGCGCACCTTATCCAGGTAGTTGGCTAGCCGGTCATTCAGACACTGCATGGTTTCCTTCTCGCTGGCAGAGACACCAAGACCGTTGAAGGAGAGGCTGGAGCCCAGCATGTTGAGGCCATTGCCCATTGAGACGGAGCGGGAGAGAGACAGTGTACTGATGGACACGGGAGGCTTGGAGCGGATGCTGCGTCCACTGTCCCTAACAGACATGCTGGAGAAGGATGGCTGGCGCACCGAGTAGCTGCGCACAGAGAGGGTGGAGGCCATGGTGTCCACTGCAGAAGATTCATATGAAAGTTTATCAGTGCTCTTATGAAGCTACAAGTCTCCTTATCTACAATTACAGAGAAGGTGGAGGAGAACCTTTTTGTGAATGTGCAACACAAAATCACACATTTTTAAGCATGCATTTGATTGATTAATGATATTTAAAGTTTGTTCCTGACCTTGGAAAAAGCGGTCAAGAATAAACTTCCAATGAACTTGAAAGTTATTCATATTTTGTAATTTATTTTTGTACTTTGAGCATATTTAGCTTTTTGTAGTAATTTTACACTTCTCTCTAGTAATTGTATCTCTCTGTAGTTGTTTTAAGTCTCTTTGCAGGGGTTTGATTTAATTTCCAACAAAAAATGTTAACAGTCACTTAAAGCACTGGCTTGGTACTCCCATTCAGTAACCCATCCATTTCTCAGGACAGCTACTAAATGGACCATGTGGTGAGAGTGTTTGAGAGTGTGTGGATTGATGATGGCTAAACTACATGAGCTAAATATTAATAAACATGGTTCTGGTTCTGTTCTAATTAATAAATAATTTAAAAACACAAAACAATATAGGATGGATCTACTAGATTTCAAAGCACGCCTCCATCTATGACTTACAGTTTCTGTTTCAGAGTGTGAGATTTAAATCTGCTTCCTCCTGTTTGAAATTGAAAAAACATTGTCACCCATTAAGGGGCTATTTGATGAGTAACAACAGAGGAAAAGGAACAAAATATAGTACATACATGGAGCTCAGTTCTGCAGTAGGTCTTCTCTTGTGCTGCTCTGTCAGGTCTGATGGTGTGAGTGTCTGTTGTTGCTGGACCAGATTTCGCAGGTAAGTTTGGCTGCAGAGACAAGACTCTCTTTGTTGGGGGTGGAGCCACTGTTCGTGTGTCCAATCACAAAGCAACAAATAGGAGGATGCAACTTGACACCTTGAGGGGAGAGAAAAAAATAACTGTGGTGCACATAAAGTAAACTAGTCGGTGTTAAAATGTTAAATGCAGGTCATTGTCTGCAGCGTCACAGGTTTGCAAACAGCAGCTGTAAGCTGACACTTGAATTATTTCTGTAACTGTGAAACTAAATACATATCTGCTCTCCTTTAAATATTAATGCAAACTTTACTTTCCAAAAGAGAGATTAATTTTGATCAGAGGCATGGAAATACCCCTGTTAAAGATAGTTTTTTCTACATCTACAATCCAACCAAATATTTGAGCTCACTGAGGTGTTAAACCTAGTTTGTTTTTAGCTTTACCAAATATACACCCTAGAGATGCTTTAATAGTGGTGAACATAAAAGTACTCTGAACAGTAGACCTAATAAAACAATGAAAATTAGAAACAATCATAAAAAAAGGATTAGTTATAAAAAAGAGCAATGGTTTGACCTTGAGTCTCCATATTATGTTGTAAAACTGTTGTGTAACATCTCCACTGCTATACAGTGACATCAACCTCCTCAGGTCTTTGTCTGACCTATATGTTGAAACTCGGAGGATAAACCGGTGCAGCCTGCAGGCTGGAAACAGGGGCCGTGCTGTCTCCACAGTGATCCCATTGAGTATAGACACAATGAACTGAGCGCAGTGAGAAGTTGGCTTCACCTGAGGACAGCCCGTCGGGAAGGGGAGAAACGGGAGGAAGCAGGAACAATGGAGGGGCCGAATGAAAAGAAAGTGAAGACCCCTGAGAAATGCAGGGCGTAGGTCTGGCTGAACTGGAAACCTGGCTCACACACAGAGAAATTTTTTGTACATGTGATAAGTGTCGACTCTCTCTCAGCCCTGTTATACAGTATGTAATCCCCTGTTACTGTATTGTAAAATTTCTCTGGTGAGCTTTATTCTCTGTGCAGGATCAGATCACGCAGTGACACTGTCCTGGTTTAGTGCCTTACATGCCTCTCACTCCACCCAACCCCACCCACCCCTGCCCTGCACACACACACACACACACACACACACACACACACACACACACACACACACACACACACACACACACACACACACACGCACATACAGACAATTACAAAAAACACTAAGAAAAATAAAGAAATTGCCTCCAAGATTTTGGGATCATTCACATGATCAAAATGAGACTTTAACAGGATGTAATTTCAGGGTTGCAAGCTGGTTGGTTAGATGTCCGGACATTGTGGAAGATTTCTTTTGTGCTGTCTGTGATCTGAACATAGAAGTTATCACCTTCTACAAGAGGCCAACACAATAAGCTGAATACCTTTACTCTATCCAGCTGTCCACAATGAGACTGAATCAAAGTCCCAACAAAGTCAAATTATTGTTATTATTATAACCTGTCTTCTTAAATTCTTAAGGTACTAAGTTCTGGATTATTGTGCTAGATTGCATGACATCAAATGTATAGCATATATAATATCTCTCTGTAACTTGATATAATGCCTCTCAAGTATGTATCTGAGAGTGATTATTGATACATTCAGATAAATGCAGCTGAAGCAATTATTTTTAGCCCTAATTTTCATGAGCCACCATATTAAGATGAAGCATGGATGTACCGCCCCCTTGTGGGTACAAAAACATACTACATTATGTAGCTTGAAATGCTAAAAGCTCAACAGGAACACATACATGCTGCTGATTCCTCTTTAACTCTTAGTTTCAGTGTTGAGTTAACAAGAAGTTTGCAAAATTTAGAAACAGCAATAAAAATTGTTATATGTAGTCTATATATTATACTTAACAAATGGCCAAAATAAACACAAATGGTTTTGGTGTATGATGTACTAGGTGTTAATTAGGTATAATGATGTGTAATTTTATCATTTTTTTCTTTCTTTTCAATACATGACACGTTAATAATAACACAATTCAAAGCAACATATACATTAGTATTGACATATAGTAGAAAAGCAGCAGGAATGAATGTTATTCAAGAGAGAATACACATATATTCTAAGTGAATGCCCGAGCATTATATTTAATATCCAATCTAAAATTCAGCTGATCCATATTCTTGATTGCCATGATAGCCATGAACTTAGTCACGTAGATGTGCACCACAAAGCCCAAATAATTAATTATATCTGTAGAGCCGCAGAACTGGATTATAATAATTATGGGTTCATCATTACAAGTGACCTCTTTTCATATTACAATGAGGTCTTTGATTCAGCATTAATATAAAACCATGGTTAGTGCAGCTTGTATCTTAAGCACAACTTTAGTGGTTTCAATTGATTAAAATTGTATTTATTTATTTTTGGCACATATAAAAAAGTGTACTATTCGTAAAATTTACTTTGGACTTTGACAAAAATACTGCAATAGTGTTTACTGGCTTTTGTTTCTAATGGAGAGTAGACTGAATATTAAGACTATACTGTCCACTTGAGCAGCTTGATAATCAATCGCTTTGCCCTGATCATAACATTTAAACAGCCATTGGCAGCAAATTGCCCCATTCCCCACATAACATGATACTGTGTCTAAAATGTAAAACAAACAGTTGAGGGCTGTGGTAACAAGACAGGTGATTAGCAAATAGGAATACCATATAAGTTCAGACCTGACTTAGAAAATCTTAAATGTTGTTTATAATTACATATATTAAAGATATCTCTCCTGAATTTGCCTTTTGGAATAGGAATCTCTTGCAAGATAAGCTAAAATAATCCACTCTACTTACTCTGCTAAAACATAAGATAAATTATATTGAAAAGCAGCTCATTTCATCACCATCTGAGAATATGTACAGTAATCTTGGAAATAGTTCTGGGTTCAGTAATTCCCAGAATTCCCAGTCTTCCAGTGTGCTGTAGCGCCACCACCTGTTCCTGACATGTAGCAGACAGCCATGTCTGTCTCCAACAGACCTCAGGAGAGTGATTTAGATCCTGCTCCAGCTTCTTATAAATAAAAATGAAGTGCTGTGATATTTCAAAAGCTGTTGTCATCCCCCCAAAATAAGCATATTCTGGGAACCTGCTGTGGAGTCCCGTGTTTATTTTTGCATAGTGCACGGTTGGCCGTCAGCCTGGATGAAGTGAATCATATGTTTCAGCTATTTCCTAGCTTTTCATCAGCCCTCCTCCTGCTCTTGTGTGCTACTGTAAGAGTCATAGTTTACACATGAAAAGGGTTTTTTTTGTTTATTCCTCAGAATTTCTATTGCACACTATGTACTGGCCCACAGTCCAGAGTCAAATAGATTCATTTAGCTTTGTTTTGGCTTTGTTTGGAAATTTGATACTGAATCCAGTTGTGTGGAGCTTTTATAGTCAGGGTTAAATGGTAGGCCTGTGCAATATCCACATTTAAACAAAACATCCTGAGCCACAAAGTAAATTCATTGTGGTCCAGTTTGCCTAAAGAAAGAACGTTTCACCTTAAAATGTTCACTCACATCTTGTTAACACTCCCACCACTGTTTGTTGACGTGGTCCTGCTCTGAAGCCTCAGATAGTCCAGTTCTGAACAACAAATTTTAGTCAGTCTGAGAGGACCTCAAACCACTGGTTTTCTCTTGTGTCACCAAACAGCTGATGGATGACATTACATTTAGATATGATGATTTAAGTGCTTCCAGGAATAAGCAGTTGTTGTTGGAGGAAAACTCACAATACATTTTGAATCTGTGTGCCACATTTATTTGGTTGAGAATAAACCTGAAAACCACAGAAAACAAAATGTACCATCTAAAGCAGGTCAAGTTTATGATTAAAAGCTAAAATAACTATCATACTAAGTGTCTTGAGTTCATTCTTTAAAGATGATAATAGTATTCATAAGTGCCCGGTCGCCTTGAACTCAGTGTTCACTCAACAGCTGTGGACCGGTTGGTTCATCATACAATTGAAAGTCCATGTCACTCTGGCTGTTCCATGTATGTGCATTTCCCAATCCACACTATAGTTAGTGTTGATAATGCAACTTAACGTTGTTTGCCAACTGCTTTAAAAATCAAGAAGAACCAGCCTTTGTATTAGGAAAGAAAATGGCATCTTCACCACAGCAATAAAAACAAGGCAAAAAGTGAAAATTCAGAGTCATTTTTAAATCAATGGCTCTTCAGTTTCAGACAAAAGTGGACAGTCTTCCCATTTCTAGCCTTTAACCATCGATTTGTTGTACCCCTGGTAGATTAGCTAGTGGCCCCTCCAACTTTATTGACAAAAATTTAACACTAATGGTCAAAGATAAAAAAAGAAAAAAAGACACATTACATGAGAGTAAAGAATGTCAAAGACATAAATATATATATACATACATATTTAAAAAAAGTTTACACTAGTTATTTTTCAGCTGTGGCTAGCTTGCTAGTTAAGCTAACATGGTGTCTCCGGCTGTTTTTAAATGTTTCCAGGTGACTCGTTCTAAAAAAATACTCCTGCAAAAGGGGTTAATCATGGCCACAAATGTGATATCATGCTAAAAAAAAAGAAGAGCGAGGCTAGAGAGACTGAGGTTAGCATTGTCTGCACCAGCGGCTTTTTTATTGCTGTTATATGTCAGCCAACAATGGTTGAATAGTCACTGGGTCAGCACCTTCTTCACTGAGCACCCAACTATCTCTATGGGTGAAAAACACAAATAACAAAATGTTTGTGTGTTTCGTCAATCACTGGACACTGATTTCAGTCATGTTAAAAGGGAGAGAGAGAGAGAGAGAGAGAGAGAAGCAACACAGTATGTTTAATCTTTAAAGGATTAAAAATAACTGGGCATGTTAATGTTTGCAGATTACAATATGTTACTTTTGGTTTCTGGAAGGCCAGAAAAAAGGACTCTCTCAGCACTTTAAATGCCAAGTATTTCTTTCTTGCACGCTGTTTTGGCATGGATAGCCTAAAGCTTGATAGATCTCCTGTGCCAAGTTGCAGTTTCTAAGCTTTTTGGGGGAAAGACAATTCGGATGAAGTTGATGAAAAAGTTATTTCAGTTTTCCTAAATTGTGGTACCCGATTGAAAAGGCTGTACAAGTTAAACATACATATTATTTTGACATAATTTGGAGAGGGTGTTGCTGTTTCAAGTCAAGAGACTTAAAAAAAAAAAAACATTAACAAACCTTTGGAAAGGCCCTGACTCTAATATTTTTTGCTTATTTTATCAGTGGGATAGTGCAATGTAAAGTTGTGCATTGTCTGCATAGCTATATTTTACTCCTAAAATAGTCAAATAGTACATCAACAAGACCTTTATATGCTTATATTTACCTCTACACGGTCAGATTGGTGGTACAGTGAGCTATTTTTAAATTAAAAAACATATATTATCCGAGTTCTTTCATTTAAGAGTTGAAAAGGAGACATTATCATACTCATCAGCCATTCAGATACTTTGCATGGCTCCATCAGTTTAGTCAAATAATATACTCAAGTGAAGCAGGAAAAAAACACACAAAAAAATTAGAAGACCTTGCCAGCATATGGCAGCATCTGAAATAAACTTGAGGAGGAGGAGGAGGGTGCTGATGAAGATGGCCCACGTTGCAATCTTCCACAGAGGTTTTGTTGACTGTTGTGCAGGGGAGAGCTCATCAGCGTTGAAGGAGAGAAATGTGAATACGCTGAGACGAGGGGCACTGCAGTGTATCTGCTCATTAGGCGAGCGATGCTGTAATTCAGAGAGCGAGCAGCTCTGCAATCAGGGGCCTATTCATTAGCATGGGGGGCCCGCTTTCATCTGTAACCACTTGAAGCTGCCAATCACTGAGGCGGACGCATGACATGATGACAAAACGGGGCGGCTTAAACGCTCTGGGATGCTTGTGCATAGAGAGAGAGACATGCCTAAACGCTGCCTTAAGCGCTCGTATCTGAGAGGGACTTTAATGGGGAAGAAATGTGCGTTTTTACAGTGTAGTGCTGGCAGGTGGCCCAAACTGTGTCAGCCTGATAATCATCTCTCTGCTCAGCATGAAGACAGCTTTTGTTCTCAGATTTCACAAGGAGGAGCATTGTTTTCCTGAACAGGTTTCTTCCTGGATTGAATTGATTAAAAGCAATTGATTGGAAAAAAAAGTTTGATTTGAAGGTAAAAGTTTAGGAAAGAATGAGAGTATTAGCAGTCGTCCTCTGATGCCTTACGATGTACGATACACTCCCACACAAAGACACACATACATGTACCTAAAACTCAGACAATGATGCAGACACTCACACACACCTGGTCCAGTCAACATTTGGGCATCTTTAATTAAATCTCTGGGCAGTATAAGGGATCCATTGTGTCTGTTTTTATCTGCTGTAGTTCTGTTGTCTGTGTGGAGTCAGTGCTGTCGTGTTTCTGACATTCCTGCTTAAGCAACAGGAGAAACACTGCTGTTTTCACTACTGAAACTTGATATGATAGATGTGATTGTGCTTCTTTTGTAATTTCACTCACCGGCTTTAATGCCACTGAGAAATCTCTTCAAAACAAATCAAATGTACAATGTACACACAAATGTACATACAAATACAAATGCATACATAATACATTACCAGCAATGTTATAAACAGTCAGGGATTTCAAACCCAAAATCCTTTAAAAGAATAAACGGAGATGTACTCATTCACTTTCTTGCTGAGAGTTAGATCAGTACCACTCTCGTGTTTGTCTTTTAAATATAAACAGCTAGCAGCAGTTAGCTTAGCATGAAGACTGGAAACACCCAAGGTAAAAATAAATCTCCTACCAGCCCTACCTCTACAGCTCACCAATCAACATGTTATATTGTTTGATTAATCCACACACAAACCGAGGTGTAACAGTTTTTACAGACATAAGAATATATACATCAATATTCTCATCTAATAAATGTGTTTCCCAAAATGTCACATTATTCCTTTAGGCTGTTTGTAGGATTATTGGTTTAAAATAACTAGCCTAAGACCAGCCTAAAGGTCCAGGTTTCAACTCCATAAAAGTTTGTGTGGTAAGATATCATTTCTGTGTAATAGTACAGAAACAAACCAACCATAAACATGTTCTGCAAAGGTTGTCTTTTCAAGCAGAGCTAAACCAATTAGTAGCTGATCGACAGATAATTCATCTTCAGCTATTCTGATTATCCGTTAACCATTTAAATTGTTTCAGGCAAAAATACAGAACATAATCCAGTTCCAGCTTCTCATTTGTAAGGATTTGTTTGTTTTTCTGTTTGATACCATAGTAAATTGAATCTCCTCCAGTTTCGGACTGATGGTTGGATGAAAATGCAATGTGAAGGCATCACCTTGAGCTTTAGAAAATTGTAATGGGCTTTTTTCCCCCCCAAAGGACCATGGTGGAATTTTTTTTCTTGGACTACGTTAAGTGTTTTGGTCCAGTCCAGTTTTTGGTTGTTAGTCTAGGGAAAAGCACTAAAGATGCTACAGAAAGGATGTGACTGCTCTGCCTGCCTGTGGTGGGTGAGGCTGTTGTTATGGTCTCAGACTACGGCTGTATTTATGGCTGAATGTATGACACCATGGATATGGCTATGGTAGCTGTGACTACTCTTCTCCAATTAACATTAACCAAAAAAAGCATTGTTAAACCACATAACAGATACAGCACAATACACCACAGGAGTTCAGGTATACATCAGCTTCAATACAACACCCAGCCAACACAACCATGTCGCCGTACACACACAACCCCTGCATGTATTGCTGTTACACCCATTATAAACCAATGTGTCAAAGCAATAATCATAACAACCAAAGCACAGCCATGGCTACAGCCACAATCATAGCAACGGCCAAAGCTCTGTCATCCCATTGTCATATCACAGCTACAGACTGTTTCAACCCTTGGCAGCAGTCAGTGAGAGAGCTAGGTTAAAAAGCTCTGTTAGTTATTTATCCAGCTGCAATGATACTGACTTGAGCTACACATAGTTGAGGGTGCGGCCACTCACTTAATACTATATCATAATACAGCTCAGCCTTTCTCTATGGATCTGAAATAATGTAAAATCTATTATAGGAAAATGCACCATTATCTTTTGGGGGCTCCATAATTTTCTGACACTCTATAGACCTATAGATAATTGATTAATTGGGAATATAATCAACAGTGAAAATTATTGTTAATTTCAGCACTAGTTTGCATAGCCTGATTTTATCACAGATACATCAATATTGAATACATTGGCCAAAACAATAAATATAAACACAGTATTGCACCATTAAATCATTTGCACACCAGTGAACTGAGCAGAGAGTTGAAAGTTAGATGAGAATATCAACATTACTCTCATGTCTGTACGCTTGATATGAAGCTGGAACAAGAAGCTTGTTAGCTTAGCAGAAAAACTGGAATCCGGCTTTAACAGCTAGCCTGGCTCTGTTCATGAAAGATTTTCAGTATCTTACTGGGCTACAATAACTGAGGGTGCCACACTTTTTCTTGGCAGGGAATAGTTGCCACAAATGAGGTATGATATGTCAATTTGTAGCCTTTAGAGGTGCTGGTATGAAGATTTATTTGTTGTACCAGTTTTCGCCTGCTTCTAATCTTATTCTTATCTTTCTAACTCCTCTAAAGTTTATGTAAAAGAATGAATACCAGTTTGATACATCATCATCAGATTTGTTTAAAATCTCAAATAACAATATCTCTACCAGCCTCAAAAATCTCAGGATCTCAGGTTGAGAAACTCAAAGTGCAAGGTTGTGGCACACTCTTTTAATTTACTACAGTGGCAAAAAGAAAAGAAAAAAACTACCCACTCATTGATCCAGTTTGGAAAATCCAGATCTAACGATATCCTTTAACTCAAAGTATCCCATTCATTCTTCCCATCGCAGCTCCTTAAGTGCCGCCAATCAATGTAACAACTGTAGATAATCTAGTGTTAAAAGGCTTCACAAAAGCCAACAAACTGCCCGATCAATGGCCGTGCTTTGAGTGAAAATGCCATTTCAAATAATCGTTTTCACAGTAGGATTGATCACATCTCCTGTTAAGCATAAATTGGAGTTAATGTGCAGGTTGGCCGCAGGATATTGCTCTCAATAACAGGTTACTGCAAGTACCTGGCCTCTGACAAGTGACCTTTTGATTTTTACAGCTCTTAGTGTAAAAATAGTGTCTTGATATAATGTGCTTCCAGTGGAGATGCATTCACATTTCTCTGTAATGCTCTGTCTTTGAAAATGACACACACACACACACACACACACACACGCTCTCTCTCCCTCTGTCTGCATGATTAAATCAACCTCACCTCAGTTATTCAAACAATTTCATAACAGCTCTGATACATTTTTATTAAACTGTAGCAGTATTTACAATGTACAATCACTGAATTTCTAGACACATTTAAAAGTGCGTTTTAAAAGTGAAGTTTTGTTCTGAATAAATAAGAGTTTCCATTTTTTCTGACAACAACACAACAACAAACAACAGTAACCTGCAAATGTGCTCATCATCAATCCCAAAAAAGCTGAGGTTTTACTGTAATACTGCTACAACACTCCTTCTTTCTTCTTTTTTGAGAGCTCACATTGCAGCAATATAATTAAAATACCTTGTATGAGTGGGTAAACATAAGGAAAAAAATCCTGACCTGATGCAATGTTTTGTGTCCCATCAAAAAGAGGAAAAATAAAATAAAAGTGGTCTTCTTCTCTGCATCACAACAAACAAGACAAAATAAAAAAACTCCCATGTTGGCATGGAGGCGGGACATGTCTCCAATCGCCACAGTCTGCTGTCTTTAAAAGACAAGTTTAGCTCAGCAGTCTCACAGCAAAGAATCCGATTTGATTGAAAACAGATCGCCGAATTCGCTTTTGCCCGGGAATTAGAATCCCAAACAGAGCAGATTACTGACAGTACGTCCCAAAGGTTTTTTTTTTTTTTACAACATCAGTGTGGTTGACGCTGCAAAAAGTGGACGCAGGAGGTCAGCGGCTGATGGGAAGCTGTGGTAGAGAGATGGACGGATGGGTCAAGTGGCTCGGGGCAGCCAGGACAGAGAAGGGATGAGCTGCACAAAGAAGACAAGAGAAACAACATGAGTTTGGGGAGCAACATGAGCATGTTACTGTAATTTAGTTTTAAGAACATGCTGCTGATCACGGATAAAAACTTCTAAAGCATCCACATGATCAGTTGGCAGGTTTTTATCTGCAGAAATCCTCCAAAGTAAGAAAAGAGATTCAGAATATTCAGAATGCATATTTAAACAACTACAACACAGTGTTTCAAACTTGGGTCTTCAACATTTATCACAATGTCCTTTTTGTATAGTTCAAAATCCGAAATCAAACGTTTGCCTCAAGGGGCTTTACAGTCAGTACAACATATGGCACCCTCTATCCTTAGACCCTAAATTTGGAGCAGTAAAAACAGGAAAGAAAATGAGAAATCTCGGGAAAACCAACAGACCTCTTCTAAAATGCTTTTTGAAATTTTATTGTACAGTTTGCCTTACAGCTGTAACAAACTGTATTTTACTTTTTGATACACTGGGAAATTGCACAGCCCACCTATGCACCAGAACAAAATACACTTTTAATACTTATATCTACTTATTTATAATTTTTTATTCTTTAATTTTGATCCTATATATGTATTTTTCTAATTCTTATTTGTACTTATTCGTATGTGTACTAATTATTATTCTTTATTGCACACTAGCCTTTTCCATCACAGACTCAATAATATACTATCCTGCATTATGTTGCCAGTGTTGGGGGAAGTATTTAGATCCTTTACTTAAATAAATGTAGCAATATTGCAATTCAAAATACTCTTTAATTAAGTAAAAGGACATTATTACAAAATGTTGCATCAAAAATAATATATCAAAAGCATCCATGATGCAGAAAAATTTACCCTGTCTTTGTTATTCTACATACTGTTTAATATTTAGTAGTTTAATATATAAACAGTGCATCATATTTTATAACCTGACCATGTGCTTTTAGAATCTTAATCTGCTTAATCTGTAAAATAACTACAGCTGTCAGATAAATGTAATGGAGTAAAAGTACAATATTTCCACCATGAAATAAAGTGGCATGAAATAGGAGCACTCAAGTAAAGTACCTCAAATTTCTACTTCACTGCATATTGTCTGAAGTAACAAATAAAACCTTTGAATCCTGATTCAATTAACAAACAGATAGAGACAGCTGATTTAAAAGTTAAAATGGTCGGAAATAGATGATTACATATACTATAATATGTGTATCATTATGCTTTTTAAAACATATAAGTCTCATCTCTGGTTTAGAAATCTATCCCTCACAAAGTGACACTAACAATGAGACCTGACACTCACTGTCCAGGTATCCATGCAGGGCCAGTAGATGTGGTCGGTCCGGGCTGCTGAATGGTGAGTAGTGGATATCATCTGGCAGCGATGGGGGCATCCTGGACATTGGAGCGCTCTGAGAGAAGCTGCTCTGAGGCGGCTGCTTTTTGTGTCGCGCACGGCAGTTCTGAAACCAAACCTGTGAAATATACAGATGATGTGAACATGCAGCGAGCAGGGGGAGATATACTCTACAACAAACACAGTGGATATCAGGGTCAAGCTGTTCTTCTCACCAGATTTGTTTATTTATTTTATGCCAGAGAAATCATTGCAATGTGTGTATTTTTTTTTAACCCATAAGCTTAACCCTTTCAGTGCCAGGCCAGTGGTTCAGAAAATAACCACTAACATAAAGATTTATTTAATGTGAATAGTCACACTCACATATTATAATGGATTATATGTAGAATTTAGGTTAACCTAAGAAAGTGATTGTACATTTTATTAGAATTGTTAATTTGTCAAATATGAGAGCTCATTACAAAACACAACTAACCTGTGAGGTTTTTTGGTGAAACTGAGCTTAAGACAGGCTCAAAACTAATAGATAACACAAGCTTTATTCAAATTAAACCATGTTTTAATTTTATCTTACTTTATAGGGGTTAAGGGTCAACTATTAGACTGTGAATAGCCCATTAAAGCCTAAACAATAAATAAAGTACAGCCTTATTTACTATAAATAACTACACACATCCAAATGTGACAGTTCATTATATTCATTAGGACCAGGGCTAACGATGTATTGATACAGCGAGATAGATCAACCAGTTTGTGTGCAAGCCTCTCTTAAACAGTGGGCTGGATGCCAGCTGGGTCTGGTGTTGGTGTGTTAAACCTACAACCCATTTTACTCTGAAAAGCACTGCTTATTGTGTTTAAAATGGTTTAGAGCAATAGTTTCCAACCTGGGGTTCTGTACAACCAGAAAACTGAGGGGCCACAAGCCAATTAAAGGGATAAAAACAGAAAAAAATATCATAATTTTCTTTTGAAATATTGGATACTTTATCTTGTCTGGTCTCTAACAATACTTAAAATCTGTCAGTTTCAGAAGGCAAACCAGACCAATTTTAAGGGTTTATAAGCAAGAACACTGGGACCCACTACAGTCTAAATTAGTTTTTTGGAGATTATTCCACTACACCAAGATGAATTATGGAGGAAATTCTCTGGATTTAGGTGGTTATTTGTCTAAAAACTAAAAAAATTCAACACTGGTATCTTCATCAACCTTTAAAAACCTTATGTGGGTGTTAGTTACTGCATGTTCCAGGAAAATAAACTAACGTGAATCATTGTGTATATGAGTGGCTTTTTTAAAACAAAGCAGCGTCTACCGTACTGCAGTTTATGACCCCTCATCACAGGTTGCAGGTACTGACTGTAATTAGCTCAACCAAAGAGTAATTTCCCTTTTTCATATTGTTTCATCTGAAGAAATAAAATAAAAAGAAATAAATGTTTTATTATTGTGCAATATGTTATTTTGTCTTTTTTTTTTTTTTTACCTCATTGTTTATCTCACAACTTCTTTAAAGGATCTTAAGCCCCGGGTGGGAACCACCTGTAGTAAGTATAAATTGCTTCTTAATGTAATCGTATGCTTTATTATTTCCTACCTGTATGACTCGTCTGCTCAATCCTGTCATTTCTGCCAGTTTCTGTAGCGTCTGAGCATCAGGGTTGTTGTCCTGAGCAAACTGAGACTGCATCACCTGCGAGGACACAATGCCTTCAGTCAAGAACCCACACATGTACAAGAGACAACAGGTGACACTGCAATGTACCTAAACACACACATCAGAGCAGAATCTACCTGCAGTTGCTCAGCAGTGAACGATGTCCGCGCCCTCTTGGCTGGTTTTGGTTGGCAGTCCTGATCAGAGGGCAGCGCTCCTTCCAGAGTCAGTCCTGTGCCTTTTAGAGAGCACAGTAACAACAGGTCTCACTCACATTTCAATCATTATGTTGTGAAGTTACACAAAACAAGGTAGTTATGGGTTTACAGGCCAATTCTGTTAGAGCTCATAAAATTGAACATTTGTCCAAACAACCCATTTAACATAATTAAAATATTTTCTTGCCAACAACCGCACAGTCTAAAGTATTAATACCATTATGGCTAACGCTTCCCTCACTGACAGCACAGCAAAGGGCAGAGTCTTCCACTAGAAGTTATTATCAGAGTGAAAAACACAAAATCCTTCCATATTGGCAGCTTTTTTTTTTTAGCTTCAACATGATGAACTAACTCTTTCTCTCTATTGTCTTCAAACTGTGATTATTTTTGTAAGAAGTCCCCAAAGCTTTTGTCTTTTCCAAGTCCAGTTCCAACCTAACCTTACAGATGTCTTAGCAGGTCCATCATTTAATCTTGCGTTGGGTAGACAACCACAGTTCAAACCCTCAGATCTTCAATTCAAGAAGTCAACAAAGATCAAAGATTGGTGATTCAGGTTGAATGTTCTTGATAATTCACTCAGTAAGAGCTGCAAATCAGAGCTGGATTGAGCTCACACAGAATGTATCTGAGATGTTGTCATCCAGGATGGAAAAAAAACTACTTGAGAGGAAAGTTAAAGGGAGCATTGGAAACTTTAGAGCTCAAGTGATCAAGAGTTGCCAGAATAGTTTGTTCTCCTTGTTACTGAAGCCCTGACTCTTGCATATTTTTGCTGGCAATCATCAGAGACCATCAGAGATACATCTTTGAGATTACCGTTTTCTGCAGCCCGGCGGAGGTTATCCAGCATGATGTCATAGTGGCTGCGGCAGAGCACCTTGCCCTCCACCAGGCCAAACTCCTCCCCGGTGGACAGCTGTCTCTTACAGGAGAAGCAGGCGAAACAGGCCAGGTGGTACACGCTGCCCCGAGCCCGTCGCACCCAGTCACTGGCGTACACCTGCCGGCCACACTGGGCGCACTTAGTGCCGAACCTACTGTGAGGGAGAAAGAAAAGGGCGGGTGAAGGTTGGTTGCAAGTTACAGAGCTCATTTAAAAGTAGGGATGTCCTGATCATATTACATATACACAACACGCCTAGGCTACAATTAGTTTCACTGTATTTCATTTTCAGCAGAAAATATTAGCCTTTATCTTCCTTCAATGGTCTGCAATGCTATTTTGTATAGTTTGCTGCAGTGTTTTGTATAACATCTGTGCAGAGGAGTGTGATCGTTGACTCTTCATTTCCAGAGTGAACTGCCTTATATTTGATGTTTATTTCCAGTGACTTTTGGGATAATTACACATTGTAACCTAAATAAATAGTAGATTGCATCATCAGTCTGTATTCGAGGGTGACACAGAAGTTCATTTCCACTCCTGTCCCATCCCAATCTTGGAAGAATGTCTCCCCATCCCATTCCTGAAAAATATGAGCATCTTGTCTGTATGTAGCCTGGGAGGTAAAACCCAGGGCAAAACAGTGCTCAATTCACTCACTGCTGCTTGAGGATATTTCAGTGAGCCCTACACTGTGACTGAAGGCGACCTTGATGAGTGCATCAACATTTTTGCCTACTGAGACATTCTCTCACCTGGACTGGATGGCCACTACATTACGAAGAAGAAGAAGAGACGGTTTAAATAGATTTTGAATAAATCAAACTTAAACTATAAAAATGGAGGTGACAAAACTGGGATTTTGAGAAAGTGAGGGGGGGGATGTTCCTCCCATCCAGTGGAAACTATATGCCCCGCCTGAGTCCAAGGTTTCTGTGTGTCAGTTAGTTTGTGGTAAAGACAACATTATTAAGGAATGTGCACTGTGTGAGCAAAAATATAAACTAAAAGAACAAGGTCCTAAAACTAGATTTTGATGCAGAGTCCCTCTACAAGACAACACCACACAATTAGCTAATAATAGCAGTTAATATTCTGCATTAGTGGTGAAAATGTTCAAATCTGCAGTCAGTCAAATTACCAACAAACGTCAGTGGTCAGTATAAAGTTTAGGGCAGTAGCGCACTTTGTCAAATGTTTGTTCGTTGATCTGATCAGGCAGCTGTTCTGTAAAGGTCTGATGAGTGTGAACTGATTTTTACAGTCTGAGAATTAGTTGTTTTTGATAGTGCTTTACTGTGATATGTTCTGCTAAAAAAAAGATCCTGCAGACCAAAAGCTCATTATGGCCCATTATGCGGAGCACATTTTTCACTAAGAAATCATAATTCCCTTAACTGGGAAGTGAAATCATGTTATACTAGAGTCCAAAGTTGATCTTGGAGAGCAAAGATCAATTAGCTGTAAAAGCACCCAGACAAATAAACTAAATTATGTTCAATAATTTATCAAAATAATATAGAAGTCATCTGTCATTTTCCCAGTTCACTGGACATTCATTCTATAATTTTTCAGTTTTACCAGGATGGAAGAAAAACATTAAAATATCTTCTTGCATGTCTAGAAACAATTATGGTTCACCAAAAAAAATATATATATATATACTGAACTTTATATTAATATGAACAACAACAGGAAGTGTGCGCTTCAAATATTTTATTAGCGTTAGTTCATAATTGATCGTTTACAAGATTTTTTGGAATTCAATGAGAGATCTTTAAAAAAAGGAAAAAGAAAAAAGTAAAGGTAATATCATCAGTATCAGTATTTTGAGTCGAGCAGACGCAGATCGGAACAAGAATACATACGGTCATGTTTTTCAGTGGTCTATTATTCGTTCATTCCTTTGCTTTTCAGATACTCAACAAATGCACTTAAAGACATCTACAATTAAAACAAGTGGTCTCTAAATTATAAGGATAAACCACACAGGCTGCGTGCGCACGCAACTTACAATTATAAACATCGACATGGTGAAACAAAGCGACCGGGAAAAACATCTAAATAAAATACATTTAGAAAATATCTAAACATTCAAAAATAAACATTTGAATAAACTTAAAACGCTGAATTCGGTAATCTACAAGTTTGAATTGAACCCAATTAGAAATATATTCATTGATTAGGCTATTCATTCAGGCCTACTAGAAAAATAAACACACTTATTTTAATGATGACATTGGGTGAATGTATAGCCTAACTGAGTTTAGATGTGGTCGTTATTCAAATAAATATATTGTTTATTTATTGACCCTTTCAAAATAAACTTCACTAAGGATCTAAAAATAAAAGTCAATCAGTCAATCAAAATAAAAATAATCAGTAGGAACAGCGTAAGTCTTTAAATAAATGAAATCAGCGCCAGAACAAAACCTGATCTTACCTGAAATAATCCAGTTTGCAGTAGATTTCTTTGTTTTTAACATAGCAGCTGTTGTGTTGGCGCAGAGACGCTCTGCAGACTGAACACTCCAAACATCCTAAGTGCCAATTCAGGTTGTTGACCTGCGGAGAAAAAGAAAAATATAGTGTCAGCCTTACAGACAAACGCACATCTGTTTGTGAGTGTTTGTGAAACATAATAGGCCTAGATATTTTATTTTATTTATTATTTTACTCAAAGCGGATTAAAAACTCCAAAAAAGATAAAAAAAATAATGCATTTTCTATTTTTCAAAAAATATAAGAAAAAGGAGAAAAATGTCACTATAAATAGGGAAACTGTATTGCAGTGCGTGAGTTAAATTATCTCCATTCACCTATTTTGCGCTCATTTTGTTGAGCTCAATCTGTAAAGACAAAAAGTAAAAGAAAAGCTATAAACCAAATTAAGAAACGGAGTTGCAGCCTAAATCAGCTAAAGCTTCGTGGATATGTTTTATTCTCTCTGAGAGTGTAGATATTTATAATTTCCCCTCTGCTTTTCGTTATTTCTCACCTTCAGCAGGTATCGGTCATGGATCTCCATGCCGCAGCTGGCGCACTGGTTCTTGGCCGCCGGAGGAGAGCAGAGACAGGCGGCCTCCGACGGACTGGACTCCCCGGACTCCTTCTTCACCTCCGACTTAGACTGCGTGAAGAAAGACAGTTTTACACCAAAGAGGAGACTGGTTTCATGGTCTCTTACAGTTTTCTGTTTTATTTTTAAGAGTGGTAACTGCAGAAATAATACGTGAAGTAGGCTATTTCAGTTCTAACCAGTGATGTGGTGGAAACATGAAGACCCAGTCCTTTAGAAAAAGCACTAATATTTAACTAAACATAATTTATTTCCAGTAAGTTATTTCTACACACAGCCATGCATGACGGTGATTTAAAATTTTATAACACAAATATTTATCCCAGGCTAAAAATGCTGCTCTGTGGACTCCAATCCACAAATCAAAAGTGAATAAACTGAGTTTTGGTGGCTTTAATATCCACGACATATCTGATCATGAACGCACACATCAGCCTAGAGGTGCAGTTTTTGTCTCCTCCTGGTTAAACCTGAGTCGTGCCCAAGGTTATCCCGAATGCAAAAAGTTTAGGAAGAGGGCAAGAAGAGGAATCAACGAAACCTTACACAGATTGAAACACAAAGAAATCAAAAGGTTGCAAACCAGACTCGTCCAGATGTTTGTGACTCACCATTTTCGGGTCTTGAACGCTGCCTATTTGGAGAGAAGATGGAGCTTTCTCTGCGCATTACGCATCTCTGCCCCAGCCCACACTATATCCGGTCCAAAACAACGAATAACAGTTTCTCCTGCATTTAAACCCTGGCAACAAAAGACATTTTGATGTAATTAGAAGGAAAAAAAAAACCTATATATGATCGATCATTCTTCTTGTGCGCAATGGGAGGCTGTATTCCCATGCAATCAAACGCGGTGAAAAGAAAGGATGGCACTATATCTGCAATTAGCGTGGATTGAAATGCTTCGCTTGATAAGTGGCAACCCAAGTGTCAATTTCATCTGGCAATCAAAAAAAAAAAAGAAACAAAAAAGTAACCGAGCCACCAAGCTAAGAGAGAAAAAAGCGGCGCATCCTAATTTCAATAGCTGTATAATCGAAAATCGAAAAATCTCCAAAGTGAAGAGGCTCAATTGGAGATCGGTCTATTCATAACAGACAATGTGCAGAAACTGCAGCTGATCTTGAGGCATAAAGGAGCTTGATTGTCTCGTTCTCATGATGGACCCATTTAAGTACTTGAGGCTCCCCTGGGTGATTACAGCTGCATTCATAAACTGCCAAAAAATCTGCGTTTGGGTGGCAATCCGGAGTCCGTGTTGTCCTTCATTTTGTCGAAATTAACAGGAATGCAAGATTATGTTAATTACCAGCTACGGTATAAATATTGGAGGCAGTAAAATAAGAAGAGATGGCCTATGGGAATAAAAAAAACATATACTTCATACATGGAAAACCTCCCAAAAGCAGCGAAGACATTGTCCAATAAAAGTTTTGACAGAACATCAGAGGCAAAATATCCAAACAATTCCGTGGAACATGGTTCTTGAAACAGGCTTTTCTTCACTTTCTTAATCCGCAACGCAAAAACAATAAATAATCCAACTTCATTAACTTTGTGGGACTGGGAATCAAACGAGTGGCACCAGTGGCACCTCCCAGACAGACTCCCAGTGCTGCTGGTTCCGCTGTGGTTTCTTCTCCCCGCCTCGACTCGAAGTTTACACCCAGTTCAGCCGACAGGATGTGATGCTGCCCATTGGACCAGCAGACCCGGGTTTATCCTCCTTTTCTGTAGGCTCACAACAAGATTTAGGGCATGAATTCATTAAAAAAGATAATCAGTAAGAATCTGTCTGGAAACACCCACTAATTAAAATTGCCTCTTTTTTTTGTCTGAACATGATGGCTGCAGATCGGAGGCCAGAGCTTTATTGAAATCACTCCACTGTATCACTGCTGATTGCAGAGCTATGGAGGGTAAGAGGTGTTAAAGATGATGATGATGATGATGCGAGCTATATAGTGCTCATTATCCATCATATAGAATTTCATTAAAGAGGATTTATTCTTTTTACAGTGCTATAATAGTTCCTCCTGTCCACTGGCTTCCTAAAGTGTTCACTGTTACAGGGAACAAAATCAACAGTCCTTGTTCTGGGTAAAAATACATTGTGAAGATAATATAAGGCTTTAACAGTCTGAGGGAGAGAAATCAAGTGGGTTTCTTTACCAAGTTATAATGCTGAAGAATAACAGAGTGAAGTCTGCACTGTTAAATAACTTTGAACCTATCCTTTAACTCTTCAGCTTTTTTTGACAGAATCAGAAGATTTATTTTCATGTCATATGGATTAAATTTGCTACAACTTTGAGAGCCGAAATGTTCACATCCAAGACATATACAACATATTTTTACTAATGCACTTAAAGTGATGTTGGACTGATTTAAAAACTTTTATAAATTCTTAAAGTTCCCCTCCAGCAGCAGTTCCAGAGAAAAATACCTTGCTACCCCAGTTTGGTGTCAAATGCTGTCAAATGTAAGATATTCATTTAGATGTGTTGTAAACAGAAATCAAGGCATATAATTGAATGATCTGTTATGGACACATTTTAGAAGTTTCATTCAAAAATCATTTATGGGCTTTTCCAAGCAAATATTGACATATGTGATTGTTTATGACCATCTTGCCACCCCATGAATATACCTCTAGCTCTGCCCCTGATAAAGTTACATTAAGAATAACATTCTCACTTATTGCAAGTCCTGAATACAGCTGTGCAAATATTGTGGAAGTTGCATATTGGACCACAATTGTCATTACACTGAGATATAATGTGAGCACATGAAACTTTCCTCCCTCAGCAGATGAATGTGAAAACAACCTTCTGGTGTCTCTAACTCTGCACGTAAATCATTCTGCACAATGCTTTTTTTCGAGAGCACGAGGACTTTGATATACATGTGTCCAGCTGTGTTCAATAGTTTGTTTACTGGTTTGATGGATGCTGTTCTTTTTAAAATTGACCAGATTGTCACTGTGGCTTGACTGTCAGCCAAGTGCGATCCTAAAGAGCTGAAAACTACATAAACTGAATTATTTGCATATTTTTGGACTTGTTGATGATAGATTTAATGGACCCTCTTTATGAGTCCCTGCTTTGAAAACAACCAGCATTGGTCTCCATACTGTGTAACAATATATGCTGTACAGCTGATGGATTTTCCTTTTGTTTTGTTGATTTGATGAATTCTCCCTTTTGTCTGTGTTAGGCTGCATATTTGTATTGTTGTATTGTTGATTTAATGTGATGTAACAGTGTTTTGATTGGTAGGCTATTGTTTGTTTTTTGGCGCAGTTGGTTTCTGAACTTAACTAAAAGAGTAACTTTTAATGTAGGGTATAAAGTCAAACATAAAGGACAGTGGCTGATACCCCTTGTTTTTTCAGAAGTTTAAATTAACAAAAAAAAAAAATACATTTTTGTGTCCCTTTATGCCTTTATTATAGTTTACACTACAGAGAGGCCAGGAAATGTAGGGATAGAAATGGGTGATGACAAGCAACAAATGTCCTCTGGGTGGACTCGAACCAGGAACACTGAGGTTCGTTAAACCTCTTTTTTGACTTTTATTATGCTTGACTGATGATTTCTATGTATTTGCTGCGATGTTTGCCTTGCTCTGTCTCTTTGTGAACAGGTCATATTTGAATTTACTGTCAGCAGATTAGGGACAATATTAAACTGTGCTGTCAGGCTCCAGGACCGCACTTAACCAGAGGAGACTGGAATAGAACTACACAATGGTGAAATTATAGTTGGTTTTTGGTGCTGATAGCAGCCTTAGAAACGCTTATTTTACTTATTTATTACTGTTTAATCATAAAGCTGTTATTGTCTGACTATGGTGATTTTATGTTTTACCTACAATGAGGTTACGGGATGTCCTGAGGTTACAACATTGAATCTGGAGGGTTTTTTTAGCAATTGAAGGGAGAAAAAAAGATGATTTTTTGGATGCAATAACTTAAATTTCAACCACTATAACTTTAATTTCAACACCCCTTTACTAACATGTTCATACTGCACATATACACGAAGAGAAAGGGCTTTGTTAGTTAGAGACTGAAGGTGAAGTTTCATGTGTTATTGGTCATATGAGGATTTAGGGGCCATAGTTTTTACTCTTCTCCATGTTGTTCTTCTGATTTGATGATTATAAAGAACTGGAGTTGTGTTTTATAGGAAGGGAACCGAAGGTAAAGGTATTTGTTTGCAATATGTAAAGGTTTTTACCTGACGAATGTTTCACCACTGGAATTGTACTTCTGTGTCTAACACATTAATGTAACAAAATGGAACCAAATAACATATACAGGATATTATCTTGTGATGTGTTAAAGTCAACTGAAGAGAACAAGGCAAGTTGTCAGTTTAGAGATTTCACACTGACTCTTCTCCTTTGTGTTAAAGGTCTCACATTGAAGCCACAGCTTTAATTTCTCTCCCCCGCACCTACAGAGAGGGAACAAAATGACTTAAAGTAAAGGTTTCCATGAAATCAATGACACTTTAATTATTATTGATCACTTAAAAAGCATCTAACAGCAGAATTACATTGTCTCAGTCTCTTTGTATTGTCAGTGTAACGCACTTCAGCGGCTCTGTGCATTAACTGTAATTACCAGATGGAGCAGGGTCAACTGGAAGTGGGCTGGTCAAGACGCAGGAGGACTTAAAGGAGGGAAGAGTGTTATTTCACATCCATTATCATCACTCTTTAGTGATGATGTGCACGAGTGGAGGTTTTTGACCAGTTTTGACCAGGTTTTTAGTTCTTTTACATTACAATTCCTTTTCAGAGACAGTGATTTTTGAGATACAATCCACTGTAGATATAACTTTGGAAAGAAGCTTTTTCATTTGTCATTTTCATCCTAAAATGACAAGTAGCAAATCAATTTTCACCTTCTGAAGCATTTAACCTTTGAATTGTTTAAAGCCTTGGTGTTTACATCACCAGTTACACATTAAACCTTACCCCACCCTAAAATCTTCTAAATTTATCTAAAGAGTTTCTTAAGATAGAGTTAAGAAACTTATTGCACATTTTTAAGACTAGCATGGAGGAAAATCCATTTTTTGGTTAAGATATATTGATCAATAAAACAACACTAAATGTCCACTTACTTGCTTATTCTGGAGTTTTCAACCATATCACACGATTGTCATCACAAGATGTTTACTCAGATGTCACAAAACTGTGTGTTCAAACTTTCCATTATTCTATTCTATCAATTATTATCATTGTTGAACAATGGAAACTTGGAATACCTACAGACAACTGAGCTGCTGATGAAGACGATCAAAAGCTCCAAGACAAACAAGTAAAGAAGTGGAGACTGTTTTGTCAACTGCTGTTTGCAAGGTCATTAATGAAAATTAACCCATATATTTATATTTTTTTATTTAATGAATAAAACATTGCATTTTTAGCATGGTGCATGGAAAATGAACTGCACATTTTGTAAAAGGTTAGGTATAAAGAAAAATATGCATTATGCAACAGGTTTTAAACTGTGCGACTTCTCGCTTCTGTTTTCCTGTACCTCACTCTTACACAACTTCCTCCTTGAAGGTCTGGCAACATGAAATGCACAACAACCTCCTGACAATGGTAATATCCGAGGATGGGTCACCTGTTGCATCCTGTGCAGCTCTGTGGATGTGTGAAAGTCACAGCGCTGCTACTGTACATGTGTGTATGACTGCTCTGTCCTGCAGCCCTGCCCTTCCTTCAGCTGTCTTCGATCCATAAAGACAATAAGCAACTCACACACCGCCACAATAAAAACAAACGGTAACACATGCTAAAGCTATTAGACTCATCCAATGGGCCCCAGTGGACAGTTTGATGGCTGGTATGTCAACAATGTATGACGTGCGCTGTGGAGGTGCAGAGAGGTTCACATAAGGGCAAAATCTTATTTACTGTTCTGAATGTTAGGAAACTACCAGCATTAAGGTGGGGTCGTTTTGTCATAACTGAATAACAATGCTTGTATAACACACTGGCCTTCAGGGTAAAACTTGTGCCTAAAATATAAAAAATATTGGCTGTAATGTAATATAAGCTACTGCTGTCAGTAGTTTCCAGTGGATTGATATGGAGTGAAGTTGAGCAGCCACAAGATATAATTTAATCAAACAGTTAAATAATCATATTTGTTTCTGCGCTTCACCAGAAACAACCACCTTCTCTTACTGTCAGTGGTTTTTGACTAATTTTTAGAGTTTTAGAGTAGAACCTTTAATGGACAGAATAATCTATGTAAGATCACTGATGTAAAAAAAAGAAATACAGAAATCAATCGATAGGAAAAACAACTATTCTCACTCACATAATGAGTCTTAATGCATTTATTGTGTTGGTCTGTCTTATAGTTGTAGCATCAGGTTGTGCAAGATCGTTGATACTTTTTGGCCCCCTTCAATCAAAATATGTCCTTTGGCAGTAAGTGATTAAAGGCCCTTGAAACCTTTTTTTCCCCCACTGTAGATACAACATTTCTTCTGACAATCCAGTACTGGTTGTTTCAAGTGAGAAGCAGTTTGTTTCTGTGGTCTTTTCGCTGGTTTGAAGCGAGCGGGGCACAGCCAGACAAAGGTGATGT